CAAACATGTTCTGACTGGTGCCCCGCTGCCCCAAAGAACCTTGTCCAGTGATGCCGGTCTTTGGTCTGGTGTTGCCTTTGCTGCTGCTGTCCCTTGCCGCACCATGGCAGTCCCATGGCCTGAGGATCTCTATGAAACCAGTAGGTTGCAATTTGGCTCTTTCTACACCCCCATGGCTTGGGTGTCGGGCGCAGTGGCCTATGGCTATCCTGAAGGAAAATTGCATCCACAAGCTCACGAGCGGACTGAGGCCATCTTGGACTTTGCCTTCGAGCATCTGCGTCAATATCCTGGCCCTCGGTTTCTGTGTGGTGATTGGAATTTCACAGTGGACTCTCTTGCTGTGGTTTCTAAGTTGTCGTCGGCTGGTTGGATTGATGTTCAGGATCTGCTTGCGCATCGTACTGGAGCCCCTGTTCGTCCTACTTGCAAAGGAGTCTCCAGGAAGGACTACATGTTCTTATCACCTGAACTTGCTCGGGCCTTCCTGGACTTAGTTGTCTGTGATGAGACTTTTGCTGATCACTCAGTTTTGGTTGCGCGGTTCGCGGGTGGTCCTGTTCACCTTGAGAGGTTTGTTTGGCCGTGTCCTCAGCCCGTCCCTTGGACTCAGGTGTCTTCTTTGTCGGACTCCGTTCCGTTTGCGGCACCTGCTGACCCTACTGAAAAGTATGCTGAGCTGTGGACTCTGAAACTCCCTGACACTTGGGTCTCATCCATGAAAGGCAGAGGTCAACAGACCAAACCGTGTCGGAAGATGCATCGCCAAGCCCCTCTGCGTGCCAGTAGGGCTCATGAAGTGCAGCCTGCTTTCTTTGGATTTTCTGCCGTCCATGCCAAACAGTTCAAACAACTCCGCCGCCTGCAAAACTACTGCAGGTGGGCTGAAAACCGGGCGGCTGTTGGTTGTGCCAATGTGGAACATGGTATTGGACTTTGGACTTCCATTCTGCGGGCCCCTGGATTTGCGCCCTCCTTTTCTGCTTGGTGGCCTACCCGGCGTTACATCTGTCCCCTGGATCCGGTGGAAATCCCGTTGCATTGCCCTGTTCTCGGAGTTGCCAAGCAAATTTTTGAGGCGGTCCTTGCTGAGGTCAGGTTGCTTGAACAACGACTCCAACAAGCACGGGCTACACACAGGAAGTACCAGCATGACCATGATCGGTCCTTGATCTTCCGTGAGGTCGCCCGACCTACCGCTGCCCCAGTTGAAACCCTGATCCACTCGGTCAAGACCCAGGTGATTGAGGTGGATGTCCATGATTGTGCTGTGGTGTTTGACGGTCCAGTTGACCTTGATCCCCAAATGCCCATCTGGATTTCGGGCCAACCAAAAGAGATCATCCATGCTGATCATGACAAAGCTTGGCTCACCGATGTCGATGATGTTGAGCCTCGGGCTCAGGTGACCCAGCGCCAGGAACTTGGGGATCTCCAGGCCATTTTTGAGGCTTTCCACACCCAGTGGAAACAGCGCTGGTGCCGACACGACAATCTTCCTTTCACCCACTGGGATGCTGTAGTTGGATTTGCCCAACGTGTCTTGCGACCATGCCCTGTCCCTCACTTGTCAGTCGATGCCGCCCTCATCCAAGCTGAGGTGCAACGGAAAAAGAAACGTTCTGCTACAGGGCTGGATGGTGTTAGCAGGGATGACCTCCTGCAGGCTGATGGACCCACACTTCAAAGCCTTGCTAGTCTGTATCAAAGAGCTGAAACTGATGGCTGCTGGCCAGAGCAGCTTCTGGCTGGCAAAGTGCACTCCTTGGCCAAGACAGAATCAGCCGCCACAGTGAGCCAATACAGGCCTATTACGGTTTTTGGTTTACCGTATCGTGTTTGGTCCAGTCTTCAATCGAGGCATTTGCTGCAGTGGGCTGAGTGTTGGGTTGATGATGGAGTTTATGGCAATCGCCGTGGCCGTCAAGCGTCAGACTTGTGGCATTACCTTTTGCAGCAGATAGAGCATGCCTATGCCTCTGGATGTCCGCTGAGTGGTGTGTCGGCTGACCTTGAGAAATGCTTCAACTGCATCCCCAGGTTTCCTGCGTTGTGCATGGCGGTGCTTGCTGGAACACCTCACCAAGTCACTACTGCGTGGGCTGGTTCACTTGCCGGAATGTGCCGCCATTTCAAAGTCCGAGATTCCTTTTCAGCGGGTTTTCTGACCAGTACTGGCTTGGCTGAGGGATGTGGTCTCAGTGTTTTTGGCATGCTGTTGGTGGATCATCTGTTTTCGTGCTGGATGCGTATTCAGGCCCCTGCCATCTCCACCTTGTCCTATGTAGATGATTGGCAATGCCTCACTTGGGATCCTGAAGTTGCTGTCCATCAACTTGCCAAAATTGAGCAGTTTGCTGCCATGTTGGACCTGACTGTTGACAAAGCCAAAACCTTTGGTTGGTCCACTGATGCGTTGGTGCGGGCACAGCTCCGTGGTGCTGGACTTTCCGTTTGCCATCACGCCCGGGAACTTGGCGGTCACTTTGGAATCTCCCGCCAGTACACCAACCGAACTGTCCAGCAGAGGATTGCTGGTCTTGATGACTTCTGGCCTAAGCTTGCTCAAAGCAAAGCCAGATATCCCGCCAAGATCTTCATGCTGAGGGCTGTTGCGTGGCCCAGAGGCTTGCACGCCATCCCTAGTGCACCTCTGGGTGACAATGTCTGGACTCAGTTGCGAAGGAGTGCTTTGAAAGCACTTGGATGGAAGCGACCTGGTGTCAACTCTTTTATCCTTCTTGGCCTGGTGGAGTCGTCTGTTGACCCTCAGTTTCTTGCCCTGCTTTGGACTTGTCGTGCTGTCCGGTCTCAATATGCAGGCGATTTTGGCTCTGCTATGCTGGCCCCTCTGGCACATGGCTTTTTGGACTTGCCCCCTGCGACTCTGGTTGCCGTTGTGTTGGCGCGATTGCAACATGTTGGTTTGTCGGTGCACTTGGGCGGGCTTGTTGCCGATCGGTTTGGTAAGTTTTGTCTGCACACTACCAATCCTGGCGAGGTTGACCTGCGTCTGTCTTGGGCTTGGACTTCCTTGGTTGCCAGCAAGGTCTCTCACCGTGCTGAATTTGCAGGTCTGGCCTTAGCAGACCCAGCATCCACCAAACGGGCTCTGCATCAGTTGGGGCCGGATGACCAGGCCCTTGTTCGCCTTGGACTTTCAGGCGGCTTGTTCACTGAGAGCTACAAGGCCAAATGGACTGACCAGACTGATACCTGCATCTGGTGTGGGCAGAAGGATTCTTTGTATCACCGGTATTGGGCTTGTCCGCAGCACCAAGATCTCAGAGACCAACTTGCCCCTGATGCACAGCAAGTGATTGACTCAGTCCCTCCTGCATTGGCACTGCGTGGTTGGGCGCTCCATGCCCCTACTTGGCCTGCCTGGGTTCAGTGTTTGCTTGACCTCCCTACGTGTCCTCCTTCCCCAGCAGTTCAGTTCAAAGCTGGTATCGTCAATCACGTTTTTACGGATGGGTCTTGTTTGCATCAGTCGGATGCTCGCTTTCGTGTCGCGGCCTGGGCTGCTGTGCTTGTGCCTTCTGAGCGTGAGACCTGGACTCCTGGTTCCTCCACTGTCCTTTGTGCTGCTGCTTTGGCTGGACTTTGCCAAACGGCGTACCGTGCTGAACTGTTCGCGGTTGCCTATGTCTTGCATTGGGCCTCTTGCCAGGGTGTCTCTGTCTGTGTCTGGACTGACTGTCTTGGGGTTATTAACCGATATAACCTGACCTTTTGGGGATACAAACGGATCAATGTCAATGGGGTTAATGCAGACTTGTGGCAGTGGATTCAGCAGTCCGTGGATCGGCTGGGCCGTGAGAAGATTCAACTTCGAAAGGTCCCGGCGCACCGCACTCTGCAAAGTGCCACCAGCAGACATGAACTCTGGATGTTTTATCACAACAGTTTGGTCGATCGGGCTGCCCGAGTTGCCAACCAAGCTAGGCCCGCAGCCTTTTGGACGTTGTGGGAGCGACATGTGCATGCTTCTGAGGCGGCTGCCCTCATTTTTCGTCAGGTGAGTGCGCTACATTTGGGGGTTGCCAGAAGACATGTTCGGCATGCCAAAGCAGATGCTATGCCAGCACCAGTTGCCGAACCTCGACAGACTCGACAGTTTGAGGTGAAGTTTGACTTGAAGGGGTGGCAAGGACAGCCCTTGCCCACACTGGCCCGCCTGTTTGGCGATGCTCATGTGCAACGAGCCACCCGCTGGTTTCTCGCACGACTGGCACAGGGTGATTCATCTACGGTTGTTTGGGTGTCGTTTGTACAATTGTATATCGACTATCAATTGTGCTGGGGCAATGCTGGACCTTTGCGGGTCAACAACACCTGGGTTGACGCGGCCACCAGGCCCTATCTCGCGGCAGAGGACTACACATTTCGTCAAAGGGTGCACTGGTTCAGACAGATGATCAAAGGGTTGGTCAAGGAGGCCGGCATTGTCGCAGCCTTTGCGCAATGCAGGCCCCGTTCTGAGGCGGTGCAAACATACATGCAGTCGATTTCTTTGCCATGGTGTGGACATGCCTTGCAAGAGGTTGATGCATGGCTTCTGCGAAATCTGGAAGGTCCTTGTGTCAGAGAAGGGAGCAGTTTGTTGAAACTGCCATTGGCGTCGAAGAGCCGTCGAATGGCAGTGTGACCCAATTGCGGTCGGGAACGGGTCGAATAGGCTTCGCTCCAGCAACCGAGCAAGTCGACAGACCGAAAATGTGGAAAATGTGGTGGTTTGGAACCATGGAATTTTATTATTTTCCATACATTGGGAATAATAACAAACCCCAACTGACTTTAACTCCATCATTTTTCAGAGGGGGTAGGCGAAAAACCACCAACCAGATTATTATTAACCATCATTAACCATATATTAACCATTGAAATCCCAACTGACTTTCATATTTTTCAGATGTCAATGTCCTATTGGCCTAAAATGTTGTACCCAACTCATACAGTACTTCAACGTATAGATCGCATGGACATCCCCTGAATAGGATCCCGGACTGCGAAACCAGAATCTGGTTGCTGGAGTAGCAGCGACGGAGGTGAAGTTGGGGGGGAAGAGGTTGGAGGGGCAGGTGATAGACCCAGATCTGGAGGATTTATATAGGTGTGGGATTGATATGGGATGATATCGGCTTGTGAAATTGAGGGAAAATGCCATAATCCAGCCACTTGATCATCATGAATTACCAATGGTAAGTACCCTCTGGTAAACTAACATAACTATGGAAAATCACCATTTTTAATGGGAAACGTCACTATAAATGGCCATTTTCAATAGCTATTTTGACATAACCAGAGGGTACCTCATGGTCAACGTTTTCTAGTGGGAAACCGGGTTCTGCTATAAACCACTACCACTCGTGGTAGGTTGATTTTGCTGGGTTGCCCACATCATAATGATTAGAATGGATAAATATGCATGGATAAATGATGATAAATGACCAACCCCAACCAATGGAGTAATGCGGTTATTTCACATGGTTATATAAAACAATGCCATAAACCAACTAGCCATGACTGGGAATGGTTTTTTAACCACCTATTAAAATGGTGATGACTGGGGGATGGTTTATGACATTGTTTTAACCACATTAAATGGTGGATTTTGGAGCAAACCACGTTTGATGACCGAAGGGCCGAAGGGTGACTATGGTAACTTATGGATACTTATGGTATTTGGCCGTAATGGCATCACTGTAATATATATATATATATATATGGGTATCACCTGCTGTTGGGGATGGGGATAAATGGATAATTACCCATTACCCACATTTACCCATTGGGCACCTCATCCCCCGCAGGCTCCGAAGCCTGCGGAGCTCGCAGAGGTCAAAGCGACTGCGCCGGCGCCGGCGCCGGTGCGCGGAAGAGAAGGGGCCGGGTGGTGCGTTTCGGGTCTTCGTGTGCGCTGCAAAAATGGTGATTCAACGGTGGATTTCGGAATCGCGAAGTTGATGTAGAACTGCAATTTCACTTGGGTTTATAGATGTTTATCTGGTTGGTGGGATAATCCTTCCCATTGACTTTCATATTTTTCAAGATGGTTAAAACCAGCAACCAGTTTTAGTAGATATATCATGATATATCGATAGTTCATGGGGGCTGAAGCAATGAACATAACTGGGTGGCCTCACCTTGTAGCATGTAACTCATGGAACTGTTTCCCTATCTTTCTAGCACTCTACAGTAGATTTCCCTTTGCTCATCAAACACTGGAACATGGCCCAGTTTTTTCATTTCTAGGTGACCTATAGCTTTTAAAACTTTTCATTTCTAGGTGACCTATAGCTTTCCATTTTCAATAGCTTTTTGTATGTTTACCAGAGGGGTATTTTAAGTGACAACCACAGTACCAGAGTTGTGACACTTAGCCCAACCAGAAAACCGGGGTAGTCGGGTGTCTGGTTGATGTTGTCATGGACCAATGACAGGAAGGGACCAACGTGCAAGCAGCCAAGGAGAGCGCGTGGGTGGCAGAAGATGTTCCTAAGATTTCCGAAGTATAAAGATACGCCGATATGTCTATGTACATCATCAGAGGCCTATGCAAATTGGACGGATCTTATAACCAAGGTTTCAAATCGGACACCTTCCATTTACCCACCAAACATGTGAAGTTTACGAAGCTTCGAGGGATGCGAAGGGTTCGAAGATACTCAGTGTCAAGGTATGAATTGGTGACTTGACATCTTTTTGGTTTTCCATCCCATTTAGGATGATTCTTCCATTTTCTTGGGGTTTGAAACCATCGATCACTTCCAATAGCGAATGGCGCGTTTCGCAGTGTGTTTTCGTTCTAGCCTGGCGACTGCTAAAACGGGGCTTCGTGGATGGCCATCAAAAGTTTCCGGCCGCATTGGTCATGTTGTCAAATCATCGATCCTTATGTTTGTCAAAATAAAACATGGTACAAATTGTGCCATTGTTGTACCCAAAAGAAGGCAGGATATTTTGTCAAATCATCGTGGCATTCATCGCGGCGTTCGTGGTTGTCCAAAGCGCTATGAACATGATAGATCATGCTAGATATGGTTTCTTAAATGGAAGACACCTAAACCAGAAAACGTTGTGCTGTTTTCATTTCCCATTCTGGGGATGACCTACCAGTGTCAGGTGACCCATGGTGACCCCCCCGATATAAAAGGTCTATTCAATGGCCACTTCAGGTACAATCGAGCTACAGTACCATATAAAATATATAAAGTCCAGATTTTTTTCTGGTGATATTCCCTAAAAAATGGGCCTTACGAATTTCGGTAGCTCCATTTTTTTCGGTCCCCTGAAATGGCCATTGATCTAGGGTTGAACCACTAATGAGATCTCACCAGTTATCATTGGGTCACCTGACTCCGGGGCTGAAATCCCCATTTTCCCGTCAGGACCTTGCAGAACAAACGCAGCAAGCGCAGCAAGTGCAACAAGGGCAGCAAGCTTTGCTGCAGAGGTGCGCCGGCAGAAACTTCAGGGTAAAATTCGGGTAAAATGGAGAAATTGGTGACCATGTTTTTTTAAAAAAAATCAAAAAAATGTGAGAGCAATGGTTTTTGGGGTACCACAGTTTGACGGAAAAAACGGCGCCCAAAATGAATAAATATGTCAAGTGCATGATCCATCGAGGGGATCATCTCGATGTTTTTTGAACTTGGAATGGTAGAATGACAACTCATTATATATATATATACTGGTTGGTGGTTTGGAACATTTTTTATTTTTCCATATATTGGGAATAATCATCCCAACTGACTTTCATATTTTTCAGAGGGACTGAAACCACCAACCAGTATATATATATATAAATAAGTAAATCTACTGCTTGGTGGTTTGGAACATGAACGGATTATGACTTTCCCATCATATTGGGAATGGAATAATTAATCATTCCAACTCACTCCATGATTGTTCAGAGGGGTAGGCGAAAAACCGCCAACCAGTCGATGTTTTCCGCTAAAAAGGATCCCTGATTTCATCCAATAAAAAAGTGGTCCCAAGTATCCCACAGTGGTCACCAGTACAGAATCCAGCAAAACCCCTTGTTCAATGAATCCATCAATCCCAATTAATCTGTTACTGCACTTAATCCATCATTTCGTATGATCGATTTAAAATCATCTAAAACCATCTACAACTAATTACAATCGTTCAACATTATTTAAAGTCTAAAGACATCTGAAATCATATCCAAACTAATCTAAGATCATCCAACATCATCTAAGATCATCCAAAATAATCTAAGATCATCCAACATCATCTAAGATCATCCAACATGATCCAAGATCATCCAAACTATTCTAAGATCATCCAACATCATCTAAGATCATCCAACATCATCTAAGATCATCCAAACTAATCTAAGATCATCCAACATCATCTAAGATCATCCAACATCATCTAAGATCATCCAAACTAATCTAAGATCATCCAACATCATCTAAGATCATCCAACATCATCTAAGATCATCCAAACATAATCTAAGATCATCCAACATCATCTAAGATCATCCAACATCATCTAAGATCATCCAAACTAATCTAAGATCATCCAACATCATCTAAGATCATCCAACATCATCTAAGATCATCCAACACCCTCTAAGATCATCCAAAATAATCTAAGATCATCCAACATCATCTAAGATCGTCCAACATGATCCAAGATCATCCAAACTATTCTAAGATCATCCAACATCATCTAAGATCATCCAAACTAATCTAAGATCATCCAACATAATCTAAGATCATCCAACATCATCTAAGATCATCCAAAGTAATCTAAGATCATCCAAAGTAATCTAAGATCATCCAAAGTAATCTAAGATCATCCAAAATAATCTAAGATCATCCAAAATAATCTAAGATCGTCCAAAATAATCTAAAATGAGTTGCCGCGGCGTTTTTCGTATGGCCGTGTTTGGCTCCGGCACGCTGCAGGGGAGAGATGCAGGCGTCTGAGGAGTTGAAAAAGAAGGCGACGAAATGGGGACAGGAAATTGTTTAACCTATTTATACTTGATTTACCCATGAAACATGGTGATTTTCCATAGTTTTTTGTATGTTTATCACAATCGAAGATACTATAAATGGATATAAATGGGCTTATTTCATGACAATATACGGCGGTTTCCTGAAATGGGTAAGAGCTGAATGGTTTATGATGGAAAATCCCCATCTACAAATGGATGATGGTACCCGGGGTACCCCCATGACTCAGGAAATGCCCAGTCATTGTCATGTTTGCTAGACATGATTTACCAGTCATTGTTGGAAACATGTGATCTCTGAATGATTTAATATCCAAGAATTGGATGATGGGATTTGTTTTTTTTACAGGAAAGCCCTATAATATTGATGGTAAAAAACATGGTTTCCGGTTAAGATTTTCCCTTAAACCAATCCAATGATAGTTATAATGATTATTCGATAAAAACATCTAATAGTGATAAATAATGGATTATATATCCAGCAGTTATATGTTAGTTATAGATATAATAGTGGATATATTAGTCAATGTGATGTACTTTGTTTTACTCCTCAGTGGTTAGTTTGAGCGCTTTGGAGCGAAGGGTATCGGGAAAAAAATGATGCTATGAAGTTCTGAACTTCCCCATGGGGAGCCAAGGAGCTACTTAGAGTTTCCTAACCACATGATAGTTCATCCATTCAAACAGGGGGGTATAATGTATATATATATTTATATTATATATATTATTATATATTTATATTATATTATATATATTATATATATTATATATATGTTATATATTATATATTATATATATATGTTATATATTTGTATATATGTATATATCCGGGTAAATTATAAACGATCTCACTGCGACCTCACTGCAAACCATGGTTTTTATAGGGGAATCATCCCCAAATGGCCCAACAATTCAGGTTTGTGAAATATTATAATTTACCCAGATATACCCTCTGGTAAACCAACATAACTATGGAAGATCCCCATGTTTAATGGGAAAACTCAATATACATTGCCATTTTCAATAGTTATGTTAGTTTACCAGAGGGTAATTGGCTATACATGGTGATTTACTCCCAAATATCACCTATCTGCGACAATTTTCTGATTGGCATGTGTCTGGAACCAACAAAAAGGTATGTATTTTTATACCCTCTGGTAAACTAACATAGCTATGGAAAACCACCAGTTTTAATGGGAAAACTCACTATAAATGGCCATTTTCAATAGCTATTTCGACATAACCAGAGGGTAACCAACAACTACGGGGATATAACGGGAATCGAACGGGACTTATATCGTCAATCATCGGAGACGTCTATGGGGTTTGTCCCAACATGGGGGATAGCAAAACACAGACGGGGGTTTACAACGAAGCAGCAATGGGGATATAACATGATATACCCTCTGGTAAACTAACATAGCAATGGAAAATGGCCATTGAAATAGTGGATTTTCCCATTAAAAATGGTGATTTTCCATAGCTATGTTAGTTTACCAGAGGGTAACAATTGAAACAATTGTGATCATAATTTGTATATCATGGAAAATAACATGAATTGGGTGATTCAGCTTCCAATATGGAGTTTTTGTTTCATGTACAGCATCAAAAGTCACCGGGAAATGGGGTACCCAACATTTGTGCCAATCGTGGTGAAGTGAGGTCTGAAACACAGGGTGGACATGGGGAGCTTCAAGTGTAGGAAACCTGAGTCCTAGAGTACTAGGGTGAAGCAACCATTTATTTGTAGTGTAGTTATCAAGTAGTTATCTACAGGTTCTGGCCCACGAAACTGACTTATAACTTGCTCAATGTTTGGGTTTTTGGAGGATATAACTATATTTAATAATAACTGGTTGGTGGTTTGGAGCATTGTTTATTTTTCCATGTATTGGGAAGAATAATCCCAACTGACTAGTATTTTTCAGAAGGGTTGAAACCACCAAACAGTTATGAACCAACAAACATAACTGGGGGTCCAACCGCCTTGTTGGTTGATGGAGTCCAAGTTCCACCCATGCCACATCGCCACAGCAAACGCGGAGATTTCAACGGCAAAGATTTGGGTTTAACCGGAGGTTGTCATCAAGATGAAAAAAACCGAACACTGAACACTACCGCAATACCTTTGCTTTCAGATATGACAAACAAACATAGTTATTTGGTGGCTTGAGTTAGAGGTTTGAATTCCTGAATTCCCTCATAGAAGGAATAGTTTGCAAAAAAAACATATTCTATTTTCTAATGATGGATACCCAACATATTATTGATTACAATCATTACAATCGAAAAGCATCGATTCCCAATAAACATCAATGGATATCCACCTTATTTTGATGCCAAGTCTCCACCGCCTCCAAACTTTTCTGTGACTGCAGGTGCCCCATGATCATTCTGATCCAAGCAACTTGACTGCAGTTGACCTTCCAGCAATGTGGGAGTATCCATAAATGGAGGTACCCCTAGTTATCATCCATTTTAGATTGGGTTTTTCCCTTATAAATCATCCATTTCGGGCTACCCCCATTGATGGAACCCCCCTACTTCGTGTGTTTATGATTGGTTATTCCCCTAAATGGTTGGTATGGGATGGTTTATGGCCTTGGATCAACTTGGATCAACTTGGATCCCAGAGACCGTTTTTTTTTTGTTTGTTTATTACTGTACTGGAAGGAGTAGTATATGTCAACATATGATAACACTTGATAACATATGTATTGCTCTCTATCTCTATCTCTATATATGATTATATATGTAGGTATATATGTTATATTATATACATATATATATATACACAGGTCTAGACATAAATACCCTACATGTTTCGATTGTCTCAATGCAGGAGGTGTTCGATTGAATTCTTTGGTCTATGCATATTTGTTTCCAATAATTAGTTAGGTTTCGGTAATTGGGACAGATGCCCATGGCTCTATTTCAGTGTCTGTCAGTCTGCTATGAGTGAGAGTGGCCCTCACCATGCTTTACTTTCTTCCTGCAGGAATTGGACGTTAGTACAATCTAAGTTAAGTGTTCGGCCGACGTAAACGGAAAAGTGTTGGGGAAAATGACAGTTTGGTGTACACCAATTTGGACATACCCAAAGTTCATATTCTGATTGGTGGTTTGGACCATTTTTTTTATTTGTCCATCTATTGGGAATAGTAATCCCAACTGACTTTCATATTTTTCAGAGGGGTAGGTCAACCACCAACCAGCATATTGTTGGTCACCTCTCCCATAAAAGATTGCCACGAAATGGCAAATGGGTCAATATCTGCATGGTGGTTTCAAACATGTCTTATTCTCAGCAGTGAGCGAGGCCCTAGGTTCTTGATAGTAGGTAGGAAGCGGGTTAGTGCCTACGACCTGTGGCAATGTCCATGCTATAGGTTTTGGCCAAAAAAGGACGTTTTTTGTTTTTCCCCAATGTCTTTCTTATTTTTCCAGGGGATGACTCAATCGCCAACCAGACTTTCAAGCCATTGTAGATCCCAGTTTCCCTATATGTTTGATGGGTAACACCTCCATTTTTCATGGCCAACGCCCCACAACGCCCGCTTTTTGCTGATCAACGCCACCATGTTTGCTGTCCAAAAATGCCAAGGTTTAGAAGACTTGATCTCCATGGGACATTCTCGGGTGGTCTCCAAGCGACGGCAGCGGCATCGAAACGTGGAGGTGAAGTGAAGTTCAGCGAGATGATTTCAGCCCCTGAAATGGACGAATTGGACGCCTGGGAAATTACCCTCTGGTAAACTAACATATAGCTATTGAAAATCACCATTTTTAATGGGTAAATCCACTATAAATGGGCCATTTTCAATAGCTATGTTAGTTTACCAGAGGGTAAACATTATCTAACTAACATCCTCGAGTTGTTTTTGGCGGCTGATACGGCGCCCTTGGAAGGGTTGTCAATTTTGAGATGTGCCATTTACGATCCCTTGGAAGGGTTGCAAATTTCAAAAATGAGGCTTTCCGAAATGGGGGTATAGGATTTGATTTTTGGGCGTCTTTAACATGTTGCACATGCTGTCGTATGATCATCAGGGGGGTGGGGGTGGGGGGGTTGTATTACTGTAACGTCCTTGACGAGCACTTCTCTTACGTTACGGAACATGCACACGTTGCGCATGCTGCCGTATGATCATCAGGGGGGGTGGGGGATGGGGGGAGTGTCTCTAGCGCTGTCACTGCAGATGGAGCCAGAGGTTTTGCAGCCAGCTGTGTCAAAGATTATCCCCACAAAAGGTTCAAGATGGCCCAAGTCAACCACAAACAAAATATCTTTACTAAGACTTATCATTTTCGAGGCCGTTTGTGGGGTAAATCCTATAGAACCATTGTTGCTGGTACTCAACAAATGGATGGAACATGGAAACACCTCAAAAAATGGCGACATATGTCGACGCTCCACAAAAAAAGTCAACAAGTGTACAAAAATGGTACACTTGGGCCTACAGCTGGACATGGCGTCACAATGCTGCCTTGTTGCAGTCTGTGGCACTGAAGCGTCGAGAAGAGGAAAAAAATGGATGAGTGAATGTCGCCCTGATATGATTCGGATGTTTGAAAATCATAGATTTCTAATGTGTTTTTTCCCCTTTGAAGAGCAAAATCGAATCACCGCGCAGGCGAAACGCAAAGTTTCATTCTTGAGTCACACGCCTGCCAATCGAAATGAATGTCGATGTGGCAAACATTTTTTGACGATTCCTGCGCGTATCAGCGTTTTGTCTCTTCAGAATTTCAAATTCGTCACCCTTATAAGGGCGCCGAGTCAACCGGTTGCCTTGTTTTTCTATTTTCTGGGAGACCGCTATAAGCCTATAAGCTTATACTGTACAATATATGAGAATTACCGATTAGGGAAGACCCAGTTTAACCTATTTGTGCATGGCATTTCCACAGTTTTTTCTCATATTTCGGCTGCCACTCATATACCCAAAATGTGATGTGGGTTTATAACCAACCTTTTTTTGGGGTATATATATATGATTACAAATAATGGATGATGAACTACTATGTATCACCAACAATATAGGATGGGTTCGTCCGAAAAGATCGAAAAAGGAGGTTTTTACCTTTGTCTATTTGTGGGGGAAATGCAGTTTTGAACCATGGGACTTGATTGAAGTGTCAAGAAGCAGGAATCAGCTGGTTTCGCGACACTTTCTTTGCCTTTTGGGGATGATTCCAGTTGGATTTCAGTGAAAACACCAACTGCAACACCAGAAACTGGCAGTTTTGTGGCTTTCTTTTGGGACAGAAACTGAACCCCTGAAAGCATGCACAACAAAATCGCAGGCCAGCTTGCTACAGATCGAGAGTTCATCAGGCTGGGGCGGGAAATCCCGAATGAATGGCTTGTGGAAATTGATTACTAAGTCACCGAATTTGCGGGACCCGATTTTCCGACAGACCCACATATACTTTGTTTCAACTGAACACCGGCAATGTGAGTTTGCGGTTTGCATGTTGAAACAATGGTGTGTGTGTGTGTGGGTGTTTTCCTTTACCTGCATTGAATTATATTTACCTGCTGCTACTTTTAAAGGAATACACGCGAACTCATCAACATGCACCCGGACATGTTCAGATTGAGGGTCAATTTTGTTGGCACAGCAAGTTGATACACTGAAATTGTCATTACCCTCTGGTAGTCACACATGGCTAGCTGGGAACCCCCCTACAAATCGGCATTTGAATATTAATGGGAACATTGTCTATGCATGGGACATTTTCCGTTGCATTGCTAGTTTTACATAAGCCACCGCTTACAGCAATCCACTCAAACTTCGCGGACGGCTCTGGAAGACGACGGGAGTTTGAAGATCAGAATCACATCCTTTTGCAATCTACCAGAAACACAAACTGAGGATATTGGTAGAGTAGTTCTGGTAATTTCATTTTCCATTCTTGTCTGGCATGAGTAGGAATATCATGGAATATCCACCAGCTATGAATATGTTGCGTGGTATCTAAGATTGGCCATATTTCCAAATCTAAGTCAGCACAGGTGCTGATCCCGAAGCACCCAAGGTGGAAACTGTGGAGAAAGGGGGACTAACGAATGGGTGACATGGGGTCCGCGGGGGGGCGGCTTGGGGGGTGCTTTTTGTGGGAGTCAGCATTTCGGACTGTCGGAAAAAAGAATGCGGAGTTCTTCGAAGCAAGTTTTCAGGGTTTTCAGGTTGATTTGAGTTTATGAATCATTTAGAATTTGGTCTGACGCTTTGGTCAGAAAGCAGTTTGGCCCCCCTTGGCCAAGGCAATGTATGCAGAAGTCGCAAGGTCCGGAAGTCAAATGGTTCTAGATTCTAGCTAGTTTAAGTCCATCGTGGTAGGTCCATGTAGGTCCTTATTTTTCCAAATTCAAAGATATTCAAAGCACAAACGCTGTCGTACCCAAACTGCTCTGAAGCCCAATGAAAATAAGTACCCTCTGGTAAACTAACGTAACTATGGAAAATGGCCCATAGAAATAGATTGTTTACCTATTAAAAATGGTGATTTTCCATGGCTATGTTAAATCGCCAGAGGGTAACTTTCGACTGTTACTCTGCCTCGTTTAATCACCCAAATGTAGGTAAATATACCATACATGGAGCATATGGGAATGATATAACATGATATGGTTGAGTATATACTTTTAAAATTTATATAGTATTGGATCTATTCATGCGGTGCGAGTAGTATAGTAGTACTGTAATGGGTTATCTTTGAATATGTTTATATTCTATTGACACCATTTCAGGATAGTTAAACTGATGGTTAAATCACTCCTGGTAGTTAGATTATTCAATAATATTTAATGAGGTTACAAACAATCATAAACTACCCATTTGGTTGTGGTTTATACCACCTATCTATGGTGATTTTGGGGGATTAATATTTTAACCACATTAATTGACATATTTTCTAGGGGTTCAATCCCCATCAAGGCTTCAATGCTGCTTAACCCCCTCTCATCCCAAGATGTCCACAGGCAGAGAAGACCGAGAAGACCGAGAAGACCGGGAAAACCGAGAAGACCGATGAAGAGCAGAAAGAAGAGACACTTGGTGGATTTTTATCAGAATGGAAAGACGAGTTTTGCATGGGATTTGGAAAACCAAATCGATTTTTCTGGGAAGAACATGACATAAGAATACATCTACATGTCTATATATCATATATAATTCTAACAGTTTACATTTACATGGATATAATATATATATATATATACACATTAGTATGTATATGTACTGAAAACAATACATGATAAGACCTTACATATGAAATTAGATGGTGGAATCCTTGCTTATTAAGTGTTCCTGTACCTTTTACTGGATTGATTTGCGAGGATGGAATATCAGCCAATTTCTAGAGTGACCTTATTATGATGATAGCTAGCAGCCACTCAAAACCGCTTCATCTTGGAATATTTTGGAATCACAGTTTGTGTCCAAAATCTTCCAAAGATTCTTGGGATTCTAAATTTGTCCCACTAAGTTGACACAAACTGAGTGACAAAACCGCAAAAAAAAATGGGTGAAATACGCAACTTTAGTCCCAGAGGTGGATTTGATGCTTGGAAAATGGATCCAACAAACCAATGGATGGAATGGGGTACCCATGCCCTACTTTCAGACAAAGCTGTATATCTACCCCATTTATTACTTCCACACACCATGTATTATTTGTGTAGGGCCACGGTATGTGTATCATATGTTTCACAATGCTGAACTCAGCAGCGCTGAGGAGTAAAGACGCTATGGAGATTCGTGCGGAGAAAGAACTGAAGGTGCTGACCTACTTCAATCCGGTGGGTGTGGAGCCTCAATGGGGGACAAAATGAGGAAAAGCCACGTCTGGGTGTTGAAACAGCCCTTCGGATGGTGGGTTTTCCATAGGAATTGGTGAAATTGCATAATTATATATTTGTTCTAGTGATCACTCAATGAGATTTAGACATGTTAGAAAAAACATGTTTGAGAGATTCTATAAATATGCTTAAATTAAAATCCATTAACGCTCGGCATGGGCCCCCGGGCCCGGGCACCGGCAGCGCCGGCAGCGCCGCCGGCAGCGCCGGCAGCGCCGGCGCCCAGGCAATAACGTGAAGTTGGTCTCGGAGCACGGGAAGGAGGGTCAAATGTGCGAGACCAAAGTCAAGCAACTCGTCTAACTGAGTTCTGTGTGGCTGAAAATGGGGTATAACTCCACAAACATGTATAACTTCGTAATTGTGTGGGGAAAGAAAATGAGATTCCAAAGAATGAATGCATTGGTTCATGGGAAAATCTGCAGGACACCCATATTTTGGATTTATTTGGAGATCAAATGTAATGTATCCAACCAAGGGAAGATTTGGAGACGGGATGCCTACATCAGAGTTTTTGTTGTCTTAAATGGGTGTCTCTGAAAATGGGACAATTTTAATTGCGAAATTGATGAGAAAAAAATGGATTTGATTTGTTTCCCATCATTTTCAAACGGACCAACACGTTTCTTAGGAATGCAAGAAATCTTTGAGGTCTCAAAATATTTGTGGAATACCCTCTGGTAAACTAACATAGCTATTGAAAATGGCCCATTTATAGTGGATTTTCCCATTAAAAATGGTGATTTTCCATTGCTATGTTAGTTCACCAGAGGGTACCTTCCAATGTGACCTAGCATAAAGGGGATGTCATGAATCAATTTTTGGATTTACCTGAGGAACCAATATGTGGATACCTGCGCCAAGTCTCAGAAACAGATGGTGACACATTGTACTCTGAATGAAGCAGTTAAACAAAACACATATGAACATCGGAGATACAAATCCAAAAAAAGGGGCTTACACAAACACCACAATCCATACAATGCCCGAAGAAAGCCAATGGACATTGAGAATGCACTGTAAACACTGAAATTGAGTAGAGGAGCTTATTGAGATAAAAGTGCCCCTCACATAAATAACTGTGTTGCATACATACACATGCATGCATGCATGCATGCATGCATGCATGCATAGGTACATACATGGATACATACATAGATACATAGATAGATAGATAGATGGATGGATAGATAGATAGATAGATAGACAGACAGATAGATAGATAGATAGATACATACAAAGATAGATCGGTAGATAAATAGATAGATAGATAGATAGATACCTACATACCTACATACCTACTTACCTACATACCTACATACATTACATACATTCCATATATTGCATACTTTACATACATTCCATACATTGCATACTTTACATACTTTACATACTTTACATACTTTACTTACTTTACATACTTTACATACTTTACATACTTTACATACTTTATATACATTACATTGCATTGCATTAATTTACATTGCATTGCAATGCATTCCATTACAGTGCATTGCAGCACCACCTTGCATTACATTACATTACATTGCATTGCATTGCATTGCATCACATTACATTGCATTACATTGCATTGCATCACATTACATTGCATTACATTGCATTGTATTGCATTGCATCACAATACATTGCATTGCATCACATTGCATTACATTGGGGTTAATTGCATTGCATTGCATTGCATTACGTTACATACATTGTGTATATATATATATACATACATGTGTATATATTTATATACATGTTTATGTATATATATATATATGACAATATACCTACATCATCTAAGGGTTCTTAAAACTTGTGCTTGTAACTGCCACGTGCGTAACTTGGTCCCCGAAACCCGTCGTGCTTTTCAGGGACGTGGAGATGTGGAAGGCAGACCTGAATCGAATGGACAGCATGATGGATGGCCCCTTGGTGGCGACTCAGGGATCACCATGGATCACCACAAAATGTCACCGGTGGCTTCATGGATCTTCATGGGGAGATGAAGAGACCAAGATCAGAAAATCCTGTTGTGAAATCCATGGGGATTTTTGATGGTGATATAAGTGACAAAAACTTATGGTGATGTAATGGGAAGTGACAAAAACTTGGATTTAACCTCCAGGAAGTTCATATAGATATGGAATGCAACAATCGTTCCAAAGGAACATTATTTAATATGATTTACACACGTTGGCGTTTCCATCTTTATCTTATGAACTGACGACATGGTATGAGAGCCGAGCTTGAGCGGTGTGTTGATGAGACGAGCAATTTCATAAGCTTGAACTGTAACCCCCAAAGATGGGAAAGTAGTGTTCCACCAGCTAAGTGGGATATTACTTTGACATGTTTTTCTTGCTATAAGTGACTGGTCCCATTCTCATAGGGATCGGATCCCAGCCGGCGATCGTAAACAGGATTTTTTGCGTGATGGATCCAGCTGGTATCTGTAGCATAAAATCATGGAATATCATGGAATATCCACCCTCTTGAGGGTGTAACTTGTTTTTTTAGCTGTACCATGAAAGTTTCATGAAAGTGTATGAAAGTAAGTTACAAAAGCAGGCGTTGTTATGTCATCCACGGTCCCAGTTCTTTTTTTCACAGCCCCATGATGAATACAGGGAACCAAAAAGAGGGCACGGGGGTCGCATTTGCCCCTGCTGAAGGTGGAAGTAGGGGCGGAGCTGACCCTAGGGTAGGGGCGAATGTGACTCGACCTCCTTTGGCGTGGCAGGCGCACTAGTTTTATAGGTGGGATTGTTTTCCAGCTGCGACTCAGCTCTAACATCCCTTTTGAAGAAACTTGCAAGACGCTTTGGATGCTGTTGTAACATCCGTGTCAAATATCTTCCAAGACGCTTTGGATGCTACTTTGCAGCATACAATTCAAGGAACTTCAAACCTGTTCTGCGTGCTACGTTGTAACATCCGTTTCAAGCAACTTCCAAGACGTTCTGCATGCTACATTGCAACAACCCTTTCAAGCAACTTCCAAGAAGCTTTGGGTGCTACTTGTATGTTGTAACATCCATGTCAAGTCTCTTCCAAGACGCTCTGGATGCTACGTTGTAACATCCATTTCCGGTATCTTCCAAGACGTTCTGGATGCTATGTTGTTAATTACATCCATTTCAAGAAACTTCAATGCTACTTTGTAGCATGCAATGCAAGGAACTTCAAACCTGTTCTGCATGCTACATTGCAACAATCCTTTTCAAACAACTTCCAAGAAGCTTTGGGTGCTACTTGTATGTTGTAACATCCATGTCAAGTCTCTTCCAAGACGCTCTGGATGTTACATTGTAACATCCGTTTCCAGTATCTTCCAAGACGTTCTGGATGCCGTGTTGTCACATCCATTTCAAGAAGCTTCCGTGAGGCTGTGAATGCTACTTTGTAGCATGCAATGCAAGGAACTTCAAACCTGTTCTGCGTGCTAGGTTGTAACATTCATTTCCAAGATGCCATGGATGCTACGTTGTAATGCCCATGTCCAGTAACTTCAAAGACGTTCTCGGTGCTATGTTGCAACATCCGTTTCAAGTAACTTTCAAGACGTTCCGCATGCTGCATTGCAACAACTATTTCGATCAACTTCCAAGACGTTCTGCATGCTACGTTGCAGCAACCCTGTCAAGCAACTTCCAAGAAGCTTTGGATGCTACGTTGTAACATCCGTGTCAAGCCTCTTCCAAGACGCTCTGCATGCTACATTGCAACAACCCTTTCAAGCAACTTCCAAGAAGCTTTGGATGCTACGTTGTAACATGCGTGTCAAGCCTCTTCTAAGACGCTTTGGATGCTACGTTGCAACATCCATTTCCAGTATCTTCCACCCCCCTAACCAATGTCCCCAAGTCCCCCCTAAATGTCCCTTGTCCCCAGATTAAACCCTAAAAGGTTGAATGACTTGAGGTTGGGGCCAATGTGACCCTAGTTAAGGTCAGGGCGAATGTGACCCTGAGGTAGGGGCGAATGTGACCCTGAGGTAGGGGCGAATGTGACCCCAGTCCCCAAAAAGAGACTATAGTTTCGCTGCAGTGAATGGGGCGGTCATTGACCATTTATGAACTGAATGGTGAAATCCAAGAAATAACTGGCCTTTTGTGGGTCCAAAGATGCCCCATTCTTAAATCATACCATGTCATACCCAGAAAAATCACCACGACGAAAAACTTCGTCGTTTTTCGAGGCCAGGGCTGGTCAGGTGAGTCCCAATCCTGTGGATGGGCCAGCGAAATCCCAATCACCAGTTGGTAGATGGGCGAAATCCCATGATAGATGGTTTAATCCCATGATAATTCTTTTTTTTCAGTGGCTCATAGGAATCTCGTGCAGGATTTTGTCCATCCACAGGGCCTGTTTTCAGGACCATTTTGCACAACTTGCTGCGATATATCGAAGATTCGTACAACTTCTCGGTTGAACATATGTGTTCCAGGGTGGATTCAGCCGGTATTTCCGGGAAAGGTTCAGAATTTCACATCGTGGCGCCACGGCCACACAAATTCGCGTCAGGAAAGGAAGCAGAGGACGCCAACATCCTGATCGGGATAGGGGTCAGAGAAGTGGTTCGCTGCCTCGAAATGGGGATCCCAAACTGTTATCCAAAATTTGTCATTTTTCATAGGGAAACCTTTGAACTTTTAAGTTGGCTTAGCGTGATTTACTTTGGGAAACCTCCATGGCCATACAATTTCCAGGTATCCAAGTTTGACCCATATTGCATCAAACATCCTCAAATTGTTGAAGTTCTGTCGTCAAAAGCCCATTGTATTCCACTTCCACTATACAATATGGTTTATCCCGAATTATCCCCATATATCCCCATAAAATTGTCGGTTTAATCCCACGTCAATTAGTTTTGCGTTTGAGGGGTTGGCCCCTCTCAGTTTGTGACAGGAAAGCTACTAATCGTCCCTGCATGCTCCAAGTGTCCCTAGTGGAAATGGCAGCATTGGACTCAATCCAATCTCCAAGAGCCGGGCTTTTACTTTCAGTGATATTTGTATGAATTCTGCAATTACAATCTGAATCTGTCTTTTGTACTTGCAGAATTTGTAAACTTGACTTTTAGATCTGTCTTTCGCCAAGTTGCCATATAAACAATACACCAAAAAACACAAACAAACTACTTGTACATCTACTGCTCACTTGAGCTGCAACCCCCCAGTTGCAGATTGGTCATAGAGTGCCATAAGTTCTACTGTACTGTAACTGTCAGGGCCCATTAATTGATCCATGTTTGATAAACTCGTACAACTCTCAAATCTTCATCGAGCGCATCTGATCACATCTGAACATTTACATGATTAACCTCCATGTTTGTTGCTTTAAACCCTTTAAAGTGTGATATGTTTGCCTTGTGAAACAGCCCAGCATTTTGAGGTCAAAACCCCAACCTTTATCGCCAGTTTTTTCGAGAAACTCCAGGAACAGGATCACAGTTTCATCGCCAGCATCGAAACCTGAAGCTCGGCTGCGAGGCGCTAAGGTAGTGCTAAGTAAAAAAAATGGTGCCCAAGGGGATGGAGGGAACAAACCAGGAAGTTGTCAAACATGGCATGCGGATATCATTTATGTAGAATGATAGTAATAATAATAATGTATATATCATAATATATATATATCATTATAAATATAATCTAATTGTATATGATATACTATATATCACAAAAAATAACATGACATAATATGATATGATATGGTATATTATAGTATAGTTTAGTATAGTATAGTATTATATGATATAATTTAGTATAATAAAAATATAATATAATATAGTATAATATAATATTAGTATAAATCAATAAAATATAGTATAATATAGTATACTATAATTCAATATAATATACTAATTTAATATAATTCAATATAATATAATTTGATATAACATAAAATCCATATGAACATACATATAAAAATAAATACAACTATAACTATAAAACCAAATATAAGTATAATGTAATATAACGTGATATAATATATTATATCATATATCATATTATATTACATTATTATTTTACATTATATTTATATTATATTATATATAGAATATAATATCCACATAGAGACTTAGAGATCCATGGCTGAATGATCCATGGCCATATTGGAGACACCAAGGTATGGCAGAAGAAGCATGTGCCGGCATCATTTGGCAGATCGAACAGGAGACACAAAGGGGTGAGATCCTGAAGTTAGTTATAAATATAATAGTGAATAATAAGTAATGTAAACAACAACTATAGGATAACCATCTATTATATTATGTTTTTTAGTTATTATTGGATAAAAACATCTAATAGTGATAAATATAATGGATAAATCCAGCAGTTATATGTTAGTTATAAATATAATAGTGGATGAAAACAGCTAACATGCACTCAACTGCTGGAGAATCTCTGTAGTCCATGCCATTGCCATTCCGATTTTGTTCTGTGGCCGAAGTCCAATTGGGATGATTCTGACGGGTAACACTCACACAATGCCTGGAATGCACCTTCCCAAGCTGAGATTTAAAAAAAAAAAATCCTCAAAAGAAAAGAGGAATCCTACGAAAAGAATTGGACATGTCAAACAATTGAGAATGTGGTTACCCAGTTTGTTTGTTTTTTGCATGGTTGTTCCCCATGGTTTTTTTCCCCCTTGTCACGACTTCCGGACTTCAGGATGAGGAGGGCAAGCACTACAAGTCCTGGGCCTGCACGATCATCGGGCCGGTGTCCATGCCCAACAAGGAGATGGAGGAATTGCGGCTTGGCTCACGGCGAGATCGACTGGAATCTCTGCGAAATAAATGGAACATCACCATAAGTACCCTCTGGTGAACTAACATAGCAATGGAAAATCACCATTTTTAATGGGAAAATCCACTATAAATGGCCATTTTCCATTGCTATGTTAGTTCACCAGAGGGTAATTAAAACCATCACCAGCAACATGTTTTTTTTTGGACTAATTACCAAAGATTGACCACGAAAAGAGATGTCTCATGCGCTATAATTCACTACTATTTATGTTTGATTCTGTCTATCTTGAGTAGGAACTTATTTTTCTATTGTTTGTCCGGGTGCTACAAGTGGTGAAAGTCACAAGTGTTGTGCAACTGCTGTCAATATGCAATGTTCTCACCATGGCAGTTGAAGTTTCCCGTGACCCAATATATATATATGAATTCTTATATGTATATGGTATTTCTATAGTCATATTGTATTTAGATTGTATTTATGGTATAGTTATTTCATCCCAATATATAAGATAGATCCCTATAAAGAGGCGGAAACGGACCTGGGACTCGGGACCCGGCTCTTTTTGGAGACTTTGGAGACCTGGATCTGGCGCTCCTTCACTTTCGGTGCTGGTAGTGACAGTGAGCCATTCATATCCATTGATTGTTTGGGGGTATCCAATGTTGACCTATCTATACCAGGTAAAATATCTATGTGGGGGTTTCCAATTTATGGGGTACATATCCCCAATAGCTGGATGGTTTATTTCATGGAACATTCCAATCTAATAGCTGGATGATTACCCGGCCTGGTAATAACTAACAGTTTGCGAACTGGAAAATCACCATGCTATTTTCATGGGTAAATCAACTATTTCTAAATGGGCCATTGTCAATAGCTTTTTGTATGTTTACCAGAGGGTATGATTTTGAATGTCCAATTTTCCATGTATGTTCCATGTATGCATGTAAATTCTCAGGCTGAGGGTTCCACTGTAAAAAGGACGAATTCCCATGTTGCTTGATACAGATATGACATGAATACCAACATTTGGTTGGTCAATGCCAGATTCTGCTTAGGTCTTCCATTTGCCGCTCTGGTCAGAAATATTTTAAGAATAAAAATGGCACATTCCAAAGCCGTCTTTTTTAATCTTTTCTCTCAGTTCATGTTTGTTTTTTTTGGTTCCAATTTTCCATATATACAATATTTGGAAAGACCCAAGAATCCATTTCCGACCCCAGATCAATTACCAGCACCTTATTGAGGGAGCTCGCACCAAGCGTGCCACCTCAGAGGTACGATGGTAGCAGGCGCTCGCTCTACTTCCTGAAGAACAACGCCGTGGTGAAAGAATTGGTGCGGGGTTCACCAGTGGAGAGATGGAGATGGCTTGGAGTTCACCAAGGAAAATGTGGAGTTCACCATAAGAACTGAGGGTTTTAGTACCCGGAAATCAAACATGGTTGGGAAATCCGCTGGAAATGGCCATTTACATAGGAAGATATAGGAAGATCACCTAGAACTGGGGGATTTTCCCTTGCTATGCAAACGTTTACCAGAGGTTTAACCGGGGTTGAAGCATCAAACGTTTCGGGATTCAAGCAACTTTGGTTATAGGGTAGAAGATAAAACGAAGCATCATGGGCAACAAACCTAGCAATGTATACGGATATACCAACCATGTTATAGGAACATCACGGGGATATAAAAAAATGCTGGATTATCCAACAAAGTTATGGGGGTATAAAACTTGCCATGGCAATATCATGGGTATGTAATGGGATTTGAAACCAATACAATTTGCATGTATACAAAAAATGAGGGAAGAGGCCGCCCCAAAAAATCAGACACATCCATTGAGGTTTGGATGGAGTTTTAACGTTCCCTCTTTCCAGCACAAACCGTTAAACCACTGGTCAGCAAATGTTGGTGAATTCAAATTCAATATACTACTGTAGTACTTTCAACCCCTATAAATTGTTGTATTGGGACAACTCAGAAATTATTAACCCTTTCTATGTAGTATATATTTGATGATTTTGATATCATGTCACAGGGTGTTTTGCTCCGGAAAATGATTTCCCTTGTATATTTCATATTTAACATTACTGATTTTATTCCCTCCACCAATGTATATATTACATAGATATTCATACAACATTCAAAATGCAACAGTATATTTTTCTTATTATTTTAATCGACACTGCCCATTTTCTACCAACATGATATAATATTATGTATATATATAATATTAGATATATCATGATATATCTATGTATAAATATATCACATGTATATATGTATTGATAATTATATAACATCGTTTACAATTACATATAATTACATATGATATATGAATTTGCCACTATATACATATACATACATACATACATACATACATACATACATACATTATAATTGATATAATATATCCCTGGTATACAAACTCGACCAGGTCAGTGGTCCTCAGCGAAAGGCCAAGTTGATTTCGAAGATCTTCGACGTGGCCTGGCGGAGATCTGACTGACAGGTCAACCAGGTTGAGAATCCTGAGATATCTTAGATTGAATGTGTATAGGTTAACTTCGGAGGTATACCCTCTGGTTATGTCAAAATAGCTATTGAAAATGGCCATAGAAATAATGAGTTTTCCCATCAACAATGGTGATTTTCCATAGTAAACTAACATAGCTATTGAAAATGGTGATGTTCCATAGTTATGTTAGTTTACCAGAGGGTATCTATGTATATGACACATACTTATGTATATATATATATCTGGTTGGTGGTTTTGAACATGACTTTTTTGACTTTCCAGATATTGGGAATGTCATCATCCCAACTGACTTTCATATTTTTCAGAGGGGTTGAAACCATCAACCAGATATATGTATATAAATATATATATATACTATTCACCATTGATTAGTCAATTACCATTGACAATGACATATGTGTATATAGATGTATATACACTATAAAGAACCATCATCTGAAATTGGGGATGCCTTTTTTGGACCTACACCCATATGTTCAAAAGTGAATGAATTCTGAGATATCGTAGATATCCTAGATAACTTTCATCTCTTAGAAATTCGATGGTTTTCATGTGAAGCATGGATGAACTTCTCCTTGAGGAACTAGAGTGCTTGTCCAAGACGTTGGAGATTCATGTCTAAAATTTCTGAAATCTTATCTGGGTAATGTTAGTAAAGCAATGTCATAAACCACCCATATACATCTTATGGGTTTCAATCCCACCAAAAAAAAAACGGAGAAAATGGGGATGGTGGATCCTGTTTTTTTACCATCCCAAAGCATCCCAAGTTGCCATCCCAAAACCAACCCAGGCGAAAACGGATGACGAGTTAGTGGAACCTCGGTTGCGATGGTGACTTTGAAAACGGTCATTTCATGCAGAAATGTGGGAAGTCATTCCCAATTTGTTGGGGAAATATATGGAAATATGTTCACGAACTAAGACTAAAATTCAAATCCCACATGGACCATATTTCAAAACGTGAAATGTTGGTTTGTGGTTTGGAACATTTTTCATTTTTCTATATTGGGAATGTCATCATCCCAACTGACTTTCATATTTTTCAGAGGGGTTGAAACCACCAACCAGAATGGTATTAACATGTGAATCCATGTGACAGTTTTTGGTGTTTCTTCCTGGAGAACAAGGGCGCCTGGAGGTTTCAAAAAAAAAATCTGTCCTGATTGGATTCTGCCATAAAAAGATACCCTCTTTGGTGATGTTCAACATAGTTATGAAAGCCATGGCCGAAATCATAGAGATATAGATGATCTATAGATGATCTATAGATTATCTATAGATGATCTATAGATGATCCATAGATGATATAGATGATCCATAGATGATCTATAGATTATCTATAGATGATCTATAGATGATCCATAGATGATCTATAGATGATCTATAGATTATCTATAGATGATCTATAGATGATCCATAGATGATCTATAGATTATCTATAGATGATCTATAGATGATCCATAGATGACCTATATATTATCTATAGATGATCTATAGATGATCCATAGATGATCTATAGATGATCTATAGATGATCTATAGATGATCTATAGATGATCTATAGATTATCTATAGATGATCTATAGATGATCTATAGATTATCTATAGATGATCTATAGATGATCCATAGATGATCTATAGATTATCTATAGATGATCTATAGATGATCCATAGATGATCTATAGATGATCTATAGATGAACTATAGATGATCTATAGATTATCTATAGATGATCTATAGATGATCCATAGATGATCTATAGATTATCTATAGATGATCTATAGATGATTCATAGATGATCTATAGATTATCTATAGATGATCTATAGATGATCCATAGATGATCTATAGATGATCTATAGATGATCTATAGATTATCTATAGATGATCTATAGATGATCCATAGATGATCTATAGATGATCTATAGATGGTCTACCTCTGTTTTACTTCACAAAAAATGGACAATGGGAGGTGCGAATCTGGGGAGGTGCGAATCTGGGGAGCCAAGGAGTACACCCACAGACTCTACACCAACATGCAACTTGGATCTTGGAAGTTTTATTGGGCTACACATATGTATATATATATATATACATACTATTCATATAGGGATTTATAGGGATTTATAGGGATTTATAGGGATTTATAGGGATTTTTAGGGATTTATAGGGATTTATAGGGATTTATAGGGATTTATAGGGATTTATGGGGATTTATGGGGATTTATAGGGATTTATAGGGATTTATAGGGATTTATAGGGATTTATAGGGATTTATAGGGATTTATAGGGATTTATAGGGATTTATAGGGATTTATGGGGATTTATGGGGATTTATGGGGATTTATGGGGATATATATATATATATATAAATACAGGGATTTATGGGGAGAATGGGATTATATATATATATAATATGTATATATGTTTGTACGGAGGTTTCCTAAGTTTGATGGGGGTACCCTTTTAACATCATCCAGTCGTCATGGATGACCATGACTTGGTATTGAAACAACCATGGTGACGACTGGAGATTCTCCTAATCAGAGCCAGGGATGGTGCTCAGCCACATCCCCTCTGGATCGGCTGGACCCATCCGGCGACGTAGATCATCTCATTTTGTGGCTGCCAAAGTCAGACTAAGTATTGCATAGGCACCAAAGTTAGGATCACCTGGGGCCCGAAGCCGAAGATTCCTGGTTGGCTTGGTTTGGGGGCGTTCAGTATGGTCCACCCATAGTCTTAGCAAGTCTTAGTGATAACTCGCATGCCAGCAACCAGCAACTGGAAGTTGCAGGTGCAGATGTGATGAGAAAAGCTGTCGATCCTACACGCAGAGCCAGGGTAGTGCACCTCGGAGATAATCGTGGAATATCGTGGACCCATGGGTTGCAGGGAAAGGCCAGGTCCCAATTTCAACAGATCCAAACATCCACAGGTTTCATAGGATGTTCCGAGTGTGGTTTGCTCCTTAAGCGTTGTTTCGATCATGTGCCCTCATGCATCATGTGAATTTTAGGTCACAAGCGGCTACACCCAAAAAATGATGTGGTTCTGCCCTTTCCTGCTATGTGGTGCATCCCGACTGTATATATATATATATACACACAAGTTGGTTAATAAATCCCATCAACTACATATGATATATTTAATGACCATACATCCAACAGTTATACTAGTTGTAAACAAGCTTAGCTAGCGAACAAGACCTTGTACTAAGTTTTGATGTCCTAAGTCTTGAGGCATGCTTCATGTGTTTTTTTTTGTTTGGACAGACGCAAGTGAAGTACTACCCTCTGGTTATTAAACATAGCCATGGGAAATGGTCCATTTATAGATGGTTTACCTATTAAAGATGGTGATTTTCTATAGCTATGTTAAATTACCAGAGGGTAATACATTCGAACCAACCGAATCCTGCTCTACATCACTGGAATGATAGGAATTGGATTGGGGTGACGATCCCCAAATAGCAAACAAAATCCAGGTGAGTGAATTTCCATAAATTAAGAGTTCGACCCGATTCGGCCCTGACAGTATCCAATGTTCAATGGAAACTCATCTTCCCCCAACTCATGGCTTCGAGCTGTTACTTGGAATGATACTATAATTGAATCTGACTTATGCTCAAGTTCTTGGGTGATCTGTAGTGCTAAAAACAGTCCAAAAAGCCATGGTATTTCTTCCCGCTTGCCCAGAAGACAACCCCACTGAAGCCTGTGCCACAAGCCACCCGAGCCCAGGAAATGGGTTGGTGCTACATTGACAACAAGACGCGGCACTTGTGCACCGCTGCCGAGAAGCAGGTTTTTTGGGGGGTTCTTGTTTTTCAGGCCTTGTAATTCTGGTCGAAAATGGCCATCGAACATGGGGATATAGTATGATATAGATTGATATATACCATCTGGCTATTTAACATAGCCATGGAAAATCAGCATTTTTAATAGGTAAACCCAGGTAAACCATCTATAAATGGGCCATTTTCCATGGCTATGTTAAATAACCAGAGGGTAGTGGCTATAGAACGTATATCAACACGATTCATCCCCATGATCTGGGAGAAGCAGCATTGGTCATATTTCTGGCCCTCTTTGGGACGATCACATCACTTGGGAATGCCTCAATGCCTCGCCAGCAGCGATGATTTCTGCTGGCTTTATCTTAAGTTGTTTTTTGGGTCCAGGATCATATATAATTTTCATGTACACTTTAGTGAGGTTCACGGCTGACTCGGCACATCATCCATCAGATGATCCAATATAGAATCCAGCGATGGCGATGGATGGTGATGGTGCTTCGAGCCACAGCCGCTGATTACACTCTGGTAATTTAACATAGATATGGAAAATCACCACTTTTTAATGGGTAAATCCACTATAAATGGCCATTTTTAATAGCTATGTTAGTTTACCAGAGGGTATCCTGATGGTTGAGTGAAGTTGATGTCTGAAAATAAGTGAAAATAATTGAAGTACCGCCAAATATATCTTGGTCATTTCCTCATTATTCAGTGGCCATTTTATATGCGAGCAAAGCCCACTTACAGAATCTCGGACAAACTCATATCATAACTCATATCATCCATAAATTATACTTCATACGTATACAAACGTGATAAACTCCCATCCCCCATTGTTCTTGATAAGTAATAAGTACATATTTATGATTATACATTCCAAACATGACTTTCTTAATGCATTAGTATATATTCATATCATATCCAACACTGGCACTCTGCCACTCTGCCACTCTGCCACTCTGCCACTCTGCCACTCTGCCACCATTCTCCAGGTCTTTCTGGACAGTGATGACAAGCCATGGTCCAGAAGCATCTGTCACCAGGCGATTTTGTCAAAATCCAAAATCTGGGAGCGACTTTGCGACTCCAGCGACTCCGTTCGTGGTACGAAGCAAGCCCGAAAAACAGGTAGAAAGGTAAAGAAAACAAATATCTCTTCTAGAAGATCTAACTTGTCCATCTTTTGGTTGCTATAAACTATTCCATTTCGAATAATTCAATCCATATCTCTGTGTTCAAGGTTGATTCTTGGCACCTATCAAAACCTCGGTCTTAGCCATGCCATGGTAGATGCTATTCTAAGGGCATCAGATGTCAGATGGACTTTCTTGATCCTGTTGACCCAGGATTTATAACAACTGGTTGATGCTTCTATATTGGGTTCTACAAATGATGAAAATTCAAACAATTACACCTGTACCATTTTGATCACTCAGTGGTAGACAAGATTGCACACCTTCAACATGCAGATGCGGCACCCGAATGTCGTGATGGATGCATGGCCGAGCACCAAGACACCCTGCGAGCAGATCTTGTCAGTAGTCTTGACCTCTTCCGACCGATCGCCATTGTCGGTCCTGGAGCTCACTGCGTTGGCGGGTGCTAATCTTCACTTCTATCAGATGCAGTGGCCTCGATGTTCAATTCTGTTTGACCTCGAAAGTGCGCCGCTGGACTTGGAAAGTGAGGATGGCCTCCCGTTGAAGCTGGAACGCTTGGGGGAGAGGCTCCGAAGCCCATCTGTCGCCAGGGCCGCCTTGGTGAAAGGAGCAGAGCGCCGTCGGGCATGGGCTGAGGAAGATCGTTGCCGCGCAGCGTGGGCGCTGGCTGTTCTGCTGCATTCATCTGACTGGGAAGAGTTGGAAAACCGAGACTACCTGGTCCGTTTCTTGGCCTCGGGCTTGGTGGCCCCAGCACCCTGGGCCTCGATGTCTACCGCCGCAGCTATGTTGCAGTTGGTCCATGTATCTGACGGATGTCACGTCCATAGCTTGCTGGCGGGGGTGGGTGTTGCTGAGGTGTTGGTGCAGCTGATTCAACATACTTCAGCTCCAGTGCAGCAAGTGGCCCTAAAGGCAATCATATATGCTGCGGCATCTGCACAGGAAGGGGATTCCTTGGGGCTGTCCGGCACTAGTGTTGTCCCTGCAATCATCTCTATTGCCCAGTTAGGATGCTATGTGAACCAACTAGCAGCTTTGGAAGCCATTGCTGCTTTGGCCAACGGAAGCATTGCCATTGCAGACCAGTTTAAGGTTGTTATCCCAGACGTGTTGGAATTTCTGGTGCACGAGCGTGATGAGATGAAAGAGGTCGCTGCTTGTGCACTCGGGAATCTAATGGATGCGGGACAGGACGCTGTGATCAAAGCCAGCGAGCACGGCTGCATTCCCAGGCTGATTCACCTTAGCTGGCACGCCAAGAGCTCTCTTCGTGACTTCCTGCTACGGTGCCTATGGATTATAACCAAATGGGAGACTTCCCGAAGGATGGCCCTGCAGCATGGCATCCTGGCACTGCTGTTTCAAAGCCTGCAGGGCGAGGACTTCATGAGGGGACAAGTGAATCAACGGTTGGTTTTAGACATGCTGCTGGCCTATCCCTATGATGCAAGAACCGCCTTTCTGCAGGAGGATCCGGGCCGCAGGACGCGCGCCGTCCGTCATATGATCTGGATCGCACAGCGGGGCGCTCCGAACCCCGCTTCAGCGAAGGAATTGCTGAAACAGCTCTTCCCAAGCCTGCTAGGTTAAATGATGAGCCAGAGACCTTGGGGTGAGAATGCAATAGCTGGATATAGCTGGGGGCTTTGAAGATCATCTTGAAGCTGGATTCAACCCTACACCTATGAACCAAATAGATCCAAATAGTATACTGGGATGGGATAGGGGTATGTTTCAGAATGGGTGATTGATGATCAAACGCAACATAGGGGCTTATATCGCTTGTAACTGCTTTAGTATGAATCATTGAATCATCAGAATTCACTGTGGGAACCCTTATCAAGATGATAGATGTTTTCGAGAAGCTTCTCTAATCCATGCTACCCTCATGCGTAGAGAAGCCTGGTATCATATTATATTGTGTATGCTAATGTGATTTGATTCATTGTTTCTCTTGAATTTTTGGGTTCATTCACAGTTCCTGTCAAATGGGATTTCAATTGCTCTGAGCAGAAAGAAATTGAGAGAGTGAGACGAGGGAGACACACATCATACACTGATGCGCTACAGTAGGTTTCATCATCCCAACTCCTAGGAATTGGACGGATTGCAACGTCACTGAAAAAGATGTGGTGTTTGGTAGGACCTATTTTGTAGCAAGTTGGATGCAATTTTCAGGCTTCACTAATACCCACATGTTGCAAGGGTTTGATGAGGCTAGCATTGACTATTCAGGCAAAGATGTCAAAGACCGCACCATCACCCAGTGAGGTTAATTTCTATCGACCACTAACTACTAATGCGATGAACCCTGATAGATTAACATGGATTATATAACCATACCTAGGACCTAATTCATCCGAATTCTACAATTTGGCTTTCTCAACCTTCAACCTGGGGTTTATTGCTGGATTTAGCACGTTAGTGGGGACGGGTTTAAACTCTACGTGCCAAAGGCTCACTAGCATGGGCGCTGATGATGATCTTCGGTCCAAAGAGGGAATCGATTCGCTTGCTGCGAAGCTTCTCCAGTTCGCGGATAAAAACCCGCAGCAACATGGTTACATGGCTATGGATCAATACCTATACATAACATTTTTAGGGGGATGAACATCCATTTACCAGCTATTTTGATGTTCACCAGGGGGAATAGGGTTTTGACCCATCCCCACATCCTCTACTCTTTTTCAGACATACGCAACATCAATTGAAAGCAACGCAGAACCAGCAATGGGTCATCAACCAAGAATGGGTCACTGGGTGGTCCCGTTTTTTCCACATGGTCATTTTTCTGGAGAAAATTGTAGTGCCATCACAGCCATTTTCGCAGGCAGAAAGCTACGACTTAAGCTGCTGGGCGCTGGGCGGTTCCAAGCGAGCCGACGTTTGATGGGGATGGGTCAGTCAATGCCTACAATGTGGTGCCCCAGTTCGTTTAAAAAACTAGGGTTGATGGTAGATATATCGAGCTAGTTCACGTGGCTGATCAACTAATTCCGGACTTTAAAACTGGATGGGGCACACATTTTCCACATTTTCCTGGAGTTTCATTGATGTTCCATCTTGCTCGGGGAAACCCATAACTACCAGCTAGTCTGCTTCTGAAGAGCTCGGGTGAGCCACTAAAGATGCCCCTGATAGGCCAAAAAGGTAGCCATAACACGAATACCTGGTACCTATTCACGATTCAGTATATTGAAGAATGGGATTGGATCGGGGCCTTTTTTATATCTCACCAGTTCCAAAGTTATAAATTACCACACAAATGGATGAACATACTTTTATTTTTGGGGGAGATAAAAACAAAAAGCAACATGTATCCTGAATCTACCTGAGAGATGGCTTGCATCCCCATCACTGGCTTTTTTGGCTGATCACATTGCCGTGTTTCTCTTTTTTTTCGGATTTTTGTTACGTCATTCATCAATATAACGTGCCCCTATTCATCAGCCAGGTTGGTTTGTACATAGGCTAACTTGGGTTTATTCTACATTTACTGGTTGGTGGTTTCAAACATTTGGATAATTTTCCATTTCATATATGGGATCATCCACCAACCATTGACGAACTCCATCATTTTTCAAGATGGTTAAGTCACCACCAACCAGATTAACATGGCTATTTTTAATGGGTAAATTCACTATTTCTATTGCCATTTTCAATAGCTTTTTGTATGTTTACCAGGCCGGGTTTTTCTATCATTGGTTGCAAGACCAACTCGGAAGTGTCGCAAAAACCGTCGCACAGCACATTGGTTCTTGGTGTTCATGCTGTTTGGGTTCCAGCGATTTGGCCAAGGTTGCAAGTGCTCTGGCTTTGGCTCCTCGACACAGAAGTGACCCATGGTGTCCTTGGAAAACTCTTCCTTTTTGGCTTCGATGATGGGTTTGTCCAAGGGCATGGGCCCCCTATGGCCATTTGACTAGGCAGAAATTGTCTGATTTCAACCACCGGATTTCGAGTCGTAGTCAAGGTTCGCATAGTCCCATCCCCCAAAATCCAAAATGTAAATCCTCTATTCAACTATGGATTATGGTTTCTGGGTGTTGAACAGAAAAGACTTGTGGTGGGGTTCAGCAAAAATGGAAATTAACTGGTGTTCAGCTGGAATTCCCGGACTGGTGAGGCTGCTACCTATCTCAGGTCGACTACTATATATATAATATAATATATTATAATTATATATTCATGGGAAAGATAGGCCAAACCTCTTGAAAGATCTCTATTCAGTTGATGTTGACAACTATAGTTTTGAAGGATTACCTTACTTTCACTGCTCCGCAATTGAACCTGATGAGCGGCATCTGTTATTATGGTCATGTTCTTCAATCAACTTGGTGCAAAGAGATAGGGATCCGTTTGGTCATTAGTTGAAGTCATTAGTGCTATATTCCAACACCCAGGATCCGAACTTGTCACCACCAGTTGTTTCGGGATCGACTGTCAAGAACTTGGCTATGCGATGAAATCTATGATGGAATCCAAACAGCAGCAGTTTACAATATTGATCTGGCTGGTGGCTGGTGGTTTGGAACATTTTTTATTTTCCCATATATTGGGAATAATCATCCCAACTGACTAATATTTTTCAGAGGGGTTGAAACCACCAACCAGTGATGTTATAATTGTTCCAAGCCAGTACAGGATTTCAGTTCTCTCAGGTTCTCTCTCAAAGTTCGCCTTCGGATCTCTCAAAGTCAACTGCAGCCAGAACTTCTCAAGTTGATCGGCTGATGCCAATTATAAATGAGCCCTTCTTACCACACCAGATGAAGCACAGCCAGTCCTGGGGTGAATCCCATCAATTTAAACAAACATATTGCTGTTGTTGAGTCTTGTTTATTTAGGCAACAGAGAAATCATCTGAAACAATCTAAAATCACCTAAAATCCACTAAAATCACCTAAAATCCACTAAAATCACCTAAAATCCACTGAAATCACCTAAATCCACTAAAATCACCTAAAATCCACTAAAATCACCTAAAATCCACTAAAATCACCTAAAATCCACTAAAATCACCTAAAATCCACTAAAATCACCTAAAATCCACTAAAATCACCTAAAATCCACTAAAATAACCTAAATCATCTGATCTAAAGTAAACTAAAATCATCAACATCATCTAAGATCATCTAAAATCATCTAAGATCATCTAAAATCATCTAAGATCAACTAACATCACCTAAAATCATCTAAAGTAAACTAAATTATCTAAATTAATCTAAGATCATCTAAAATCCACTGATTTACCATCTTTTTCCTCATTGAACACTTGATTTCCCTCTGCACCACGCTTGCAGCAGATTTTGGGGCAAATCCCTTGGCACTGAGGCATGCTTCCCGGCGAAGGAAAAACGCTGGACCAGGACCTGCTAGCGGAGAATCCCTACAACTATGGGTGCTGCGGCCTATAAGGACGGTATCAAGGGGGGATTAACAACATCCCAGTCGGGCCCAATTTCATAAACCTCTTGGGGTGGATTGATATGGTTGTTTACCATGGTGTACCACCATTTTTTTCACATTCCCATGAAATCTATCCAGGTGAACTGTGAAACATATCTTGGGCGATTGTAAGGAGTTATGCAACCTAGTTATTGGAGATCATGAACTCAAAACTGATCAACCAGCCAACTGGTACTTCATGAGATGGGAAAGCCGGATATATTTAATGGCTCACCTGTTTCAGGTGAGCGGGTTCTTGCAAGATGATGATGTAATGGGGATATACTGGGTATACGGGGATATTTAAGAACTATGATTTTGGGTCTGTTCGAAATTGGAGGAGTCCGGAAATATGCTTACTGCAATGGGAAAGCTAATGATCAATGTTTTTTCGCTTGATTTACCATAAAATGTCTATTGTTTGGCGATCTTGTTCTATAGTCTATCTGTCCTCCGTTTGAAAGCGTGTTTTTTTTTCGTGTACTCTTTGGTGGTCAGGTTCCGACCATGGGAAATTCTCAGGCAGACTGTAGCTCTTCTCGTAGCTCTGGGCAGCTCTTCTTGTGAGTGGTCGCTGACAGTTCATAAACCCTTGTCTGGTTGGTGGTTTTGGAATTTTCCCCGATAGTTGGGATGATGATCCAGTTAATATTTTTCAGGGGAGGTTGCAAAGGCCAACCTTGTTTTTGGTGTCACGTACTCTCACTACAAGGCAACGGTCCACGCTTCTGGGGTGGAGTGGGCTAATAACGTTCACTTGCACTTACACACACACACACGTCATTGGGGTGGGGTGGGGTGGGCTAATAAAGTTCGCTTGCGCACACGCATGTCATTGGGGTGGGGTGGGGTTGGCTAATAACGTTCTCGTGCATTTGCGCGCACACACACACGTCATGCTAGGCTAGTGGACGCTCTCTTGCACTTGCACACGCACGCCATATTGCGCTAGTGGACAATCTTTTGCACTTGCTCACACACACACACATGTCATGCTACGCTAGTGGACGTTCTCTTGCACTTGCACATACACGTCATGCTACACTCCAAAAATATCCAAAAATGATAAAGTCGTTAACCCATGCTTGTGGGACTATATGTTCCAGTTTGTGTGCAGACACAACAAGAAAGACTAGACAGACACGCCTGTGGATGAAGATTTATTTTCGTCACTTTGGATTTGCTGCCTTTGCAACAGGACTTGCAAAAACACTGTAAATACATGCAATTAAATACCAGGTGAAACACGCCAGTTTGAACCATTTTACCCGAGCACTGAGCAGGCATGTTACCTTGTGTTTTGGGCTTCACGGTCGTTTGAATCCCCATGAAACTATCGTCACAGTCCAACGACCTCGTTGATGAGTTCGGTGGGTCAAAACACCTTTCAGTACCCAATCTATGCCGGTGATTATCACAATATATATTACAAACTGGTTGGTGGTTTGGAACCATGGATTTTTATGACTTTCCATATATTGGGAATGTCATCATCCCAACTGACTTTCATATTTTTCAGAGGGGTAGGTATACCACCAACCAGCAAACATTCACAAAGCATGAGCTGGCAATCCCGTTCTTAACATCTATTACCAGTATGTCATGGCATCCAACTCTGTGGTGCTTATGTACCCTATGTAAACCAGGTGAACATGTAATCATCTACTAAAACACCAGTCTTAGGTTTGGGCCGTTTTTTCTGATGTTTTTTAACGGAAAAACGATCCATTTGGGCGCCAAATGATGTGTGAAAACCATGGCGGTTTTCGGGGATGGTATTCCACCGTTGGATGGCTGGCCGTTGTGTTTATTCACGAGTGAAACCATGGTGAACGGAAACTTGAAAAACCCTGCATGTACAGAATGGATTGGGGTTCTGAGTTCTAAGTAGTTCGAAGTAGTTCTAAGTAGTTCTAAGTAGTTCTAAGAAGTTCTAAGTAGTTCTAAGTAGTTCTAAGTAGTTCTAAGTAGTTCTAAGTAGTTCTAAGTAGTTCTAAGATGCGAAGTGCAACCATTCAATCGACAGCACCTCCGTTCTGATGCAACAGGTTTTCTTGGCAGAATGTGGAACCAATGGAATCCGAAAAAGACGTGTCGCATAGGCAGAATCGAAAGATCTATAAAGATCATCGTCGCAAGTGTTCACCAATCCGAAAAACCCATCTGCTTATGACAGTTCGCCATGGAAAATCCACCCATTTCTAAAAGAACGGTAAGCCATCTATTTCTATGGGCCATCTATTTATACCTATGGCTATGAACTATAGTCATAACCAGGTTGGGTAAATCACCAATTAAATCCCATTAAACCACCATTTTCCTATGGTTTTCCTATGGTTTTCCTATGGGTTTTCCTATGGTTTTCTCCAAGACATCCGACTGGTGCGGTGCCAAGGTCTTACTGTCAGAGATGGAACGGAGAGGAGAACAAGTTCAAATGGTGGCTGGTCAACCAACGGTGGTGCCCCATAGGTCGGAACCGCTAAGTTGGTTTATATATAACTCCCATATAATAACTATGGTTTATGGATGTTTATGGCAGATGTAACGAACTAGTTAATGGGGTTTATAAACTTATAACTGGTGGGCACCATCCTGTCCTGGAGTTGAAGATTCTTGAGTTTCCGTAGAGGAAATCTACTCAGACTGGGGAATCTACCCGGCCTGGTAAAGCTACAAAAAACACAAAGGAAAGATCCACCATGCTATTAATTCGGAAATCCACTATTTCGACTGGGCCATTTTCAATAGCAAACTGTTAAATTACCAGAGGGTATATACTGTAGTATTTGTTTGATTCCTTAAGCAATCCAAGTAATAGTATGTAATAGTTGCGTGAAGTGAGAGGTGAATGGTTTGGTAGTACCAATGGTTGATTTCTTTGCACTCAGATGGGTTTTTAGGGGTGGGTTCGTGGATGATAACGGTAGATTAGCGGTTAATGGCAAAATGCAATACATGAAAACTAAACTGGTTGATAGTTTCAAACATTTTTTATTTTCCATTTCATATATGGGACAAACCCTTCCCATTGACTTTCATATTTTTCAAGATGGTTAAAACCACCGACCAGTAAAATCCATAAACTGTGTTGAAGACAAGTCCATTTCATGTTTATTGGTTGTTCACTTGAACAACAGTCATTGAATTGTCTTCAATAAACTAAATATGCTTGTTCAATCACTGTGTGGGTGGATAATGGCATTTTAATCCCGAAGCATCATTTTTTTTTCAGAATCCCAACACGGGGACATTTTTTCTCGAGACCCAACAGAAAAACAATGAGCTGGAGCTGCTTATTTCCTCTACAAAATGATGTTCTCTAGACCCAGACATCTCTAGATTTTATAGAGGCATTTTCCTCTATATAAAAAGTTCAAATCGGGTAGCCAAAAATGATGGGATATTCAAGAAGGGTTTTCTCTATACCATAGTGCTTAAACTTGAAAAAAAATGTTTCCTTGTTTTTTCTCATGAAAATAACAACCTGATGAAAACGTATTTTGTGGAGGGGACAGCTGGTATTGTAGGAAACCATTTCAAGCTTGTAGGGTTGCATGCTGTCATGTTGTGCAAGGGTTTCAACTTTATAGCGGCCCATGTCTTTTGTTATTTTTGCCCAAGATGGGTGATGCCGGAGGCAAGACTTGGCAAAACCACCTAAAAGAGTGCACAATCATCCAAGAGAAACACACATACTTATCACTGTTTCTCTTGGATTGTTACAGAACCTTTCTGAATGCCAGAGTTCAATGTTGCATTATCAGGATTTATCAGATGAGTTTCTCTGAGTCCCTGGAATTGGAAATGTTTGGGACATGTTGGGTTTTTTTCTTGAACAGAGGCCGTCTCTATAAAGTTCAGGGTTTCTCTATAAAGTTCAAATCTCATTGGAAAGAGGTGAAAATTCAGAGCCTTTTCCCAAGGCATCAGCCGGACTGAACTGATTGGGTAGGTTTTTTGTGCTGTACCCAACATCAACTGCAACTTTATACTGGCTCAATGCCATGAGGGTCCCACTTTGGATTTTATAGTGATGGTCTGGGGGACCATGTTTTAATTGTGGGAGGCTCCGCTCTCCCAAGGTGACGACAGGTTGGCTCCATTGCTTCCACCCCCAAAAACGCGGCGTTACACGTTGGTACTTCCTGGAGCAGTTGTCTGGTTTCGTGATCGACTATCAGTGTCAACTACCCTCTGGTAAACTAACATAGCTATTGAAAATGGTCATTTATAGTGAGTTTTCCCATGAACAATGGTGATTTTCCATAGCTATGTTAGTTTACCAGAGGGTAAAAACATGGCAGTCATGGCTGTGAGTTAGAGCATCCATACTGCGCTGCTGCGTTGGCACGGAGTGCTGGGTAGAAAATCCCGAAGCGAACAGAAGAGCCCTCCACCTGTCCGGCATGGGAGCAACAGGGGAAAGTGACGACGAATTTGAAGATGCGGAGGTTGACGTCATGTCAGTGTAGTATATAATCAATATTATATATATATATCAATATATATATATACATATATATATGTATATATATATATGTCTATATATATCATACATCATTATATATCTAGTCTATATCTAATATCTAATACTTAATATCTAAATATATCTAATATCTAAGTATATCCGGCATATATGATATAGTATATAAGTATATATCTAATATCTAATTAATGTGTAATGTGTGCATATATAACATAATATAGAACAAATTAAATCTGCATTATAATATTATATAGTTCATTATGTATATTATATTATAATATATATACATATTATATCTAATTATCTTACATCTAACACTCATATCTATCTGTATATGGTCACCCCGCCCCCATGATCTACCTAAGGCATAGCTTGCTGAGTTCCTGTTGGCCATTTTGCCCACATCCCGATTTGTTCACACCCAACATCCATCTGACCATTTGATCCTTGGAGACTTTAAAGGTTGCGAATAGTGAAAGAAAGCCACACATTGTGAAAATCGTCTTCCAGAGGTTCTGGGGACAGATGTGAAAACATTTAAGAAACATCGAGAAACAAAGAAACATAACAATTGTCTAGAGGTCCTGGGAACACCAAATTTGAAAAAGAAAACAAGAAACCTCAAGAAAAAACATTATTGCTAAATATTGCTAACATCATGAGTATGATTTGAACTCTCAAATGATCAATTACTGTACATCCCCATTTCTTTTCCCGAAAAAATCACTCAGCCCAGGTGTTACGTGGGTTGGGACAGCCCTTGCGTGGACCGAAGGTGGAGCCCACCCGGGTGAGGTGTGCAGATCCCAAGCAAATGGATCGAAATGACCTGAAAAATCTGGGAATTCTCTCTCTATGTATACATATATATATATATATATATTATATTATATTCTATGGAATTATGAGACTTAAATAGACTTAAATAGACAAACAAATCATCTGAAAAAGCTACTGTAGAAGATTCTGTGAATACTTTTTATGTTGATTGATATGAACGATCCAGATCTTCTGACCATGTGAATCTTGGGTCCATTCAATTTTGGGAACACTTCTGGCTGTTCTAAACCTGCTTGGAAAAATGACCCTAATTGACGAGAGTTTTTTGGGGGATGGCTTGAAACCATAAACCAGCTTTGGCCAATTGTCCATTTAGGTCTCCTTATGATCCATGTATGTTGTACACACGCACATATAATATCATATAATTATATATATATATAATTATATATATATAATTATATATATATAATTATATATATATATAATTATATATATATAATATATATACATATTTATAATTATACATGTTGTGTATGTATATACATTAAATATATACATATATATATATATACATATTACAATTATACATACACACATATGCGATATGTGTCGTGTATAAAATGTCTATACAAAGATCTCCCATATGTTTCCATACTGAGCTGGGTGAAGTCCTCCTTGTAGGTGGTTTGGATGGGGCTGTGCTATGGAGAGTCAATCGGGATGATTGTGGCACGGCACACAAAAAAAATATAAACCTAGAAGAAACCTAACTGGTTGGTGGTTTGGAACCATGGAATTTTATGACTTTCCATATATTGGGAATAATCATCCCAACTGACTAACATTTTTCAGAGGGGTTGAAACCACCAACCAGCTAAAGAAAACATAAGAAACCCTAAACAACTCTAAATGAACCTGAAAAAAACTCTACATAAACCCTGAAAAATCTCTGTGAGAATGTTTTGTTGTGGAATACCCGTGGGGCGTAGCGCACGTGCTGCGATAACTCATGATCATCATGCTCCTGCCCTCGATGGGACCGTTGTGGACAAGATATTGCTTGCCGAGTTGAGGTTACTGTAACAAAAAATGCAATTTCAGTACCTGCCATCGCCTCTGCTGAATTTTGTTAGTGATGTATCTTAATTTTGTGGTATTTACCTGAATATAAAGCAGTAGACACTCCTGATGTGTTGTTTTGCGTGTGTTTCGTTTCGTGTTCTATTGTTTATTGAACGAACAATTGCATGTTCTATAGGTTTTCTACATAGAGATATTCAACATTCGTGTTGTCATTGACCACAACACCGGCTGCATTTGATCCCAATTTCTGTTGCTCCGAAGATGACATGGTTAGTAAGTTGCATCCCAATGGCCCATGGCTAAGATGTGATTTCATGCTGTATATCCGAGTTTTCGTTTAACGGGATATCCCACTACACTATATTTAGTATGGCATATAATTCATATACATACGTACGGGACCGTAACACCAAGCGCTTAGGGATCTAAGGGACAGATTTTTTAACGACCCCTTAACCAAATCAAAAGGACATGTCCGGGCGTTCCGGCTTGGAAGAGGCGTGCGAATCCGCACCACAAGTACAAGGTGACCGGTCAGCACTTGCAGAAGTGGTGATTCAAACTACTAAACTGACTTTGGAGTTGGTTTGTAACTATACTACAACCGATAATGATATATATATATATACTGTATATATATTATATTATGTAGGTGGTGTAGATCTATATCGAACTAGTCAACGGAGTGAACATAAAGCAACATATAACTGGGGAGCACCACATTGTACCCTGCAGGAAGAAACAGTGTCATCTCAGGGTTGCACCAGCGTGAAGGGGCTGCTTCCTATGATACCAAGGTCATGGGAAATGTCATCAATTATAATACATTATACCCTCTGGTAAATTAACATAGACCCCGAAAATAGCATATTTTTTAATGGAAACTCATCTTCCAACCCCTATTTGCCCTATCTGGCAGGGTCTGAAAATTCTGAAAGATCCTGAAAGACCAATCCCCAGCTACACCCCGAGATGATCCATGAAAAGAGGCCTGGCTGGGACTTTTCCTCCGGTTTTGACACCGCGGAACGTAGTGAAACAAGGTTAAATAATGTTAAATATATACATGTATATAATATATATATATTGCAACTTCCAAAATGATGTACACAATGTACAATCAAATGCAAAAGAATATGCTCTCAGTTCGAGTTTTTCTGAATCTTTTGGGGTTACAAGAAATCCATGGAGCGCAATCGAGCACCATATATTTCCCCCCTTGCCAGGATGCATCCACATTTGTGCCGGCGCAGTTTTGGCAAGGGTCCCCAAGGAGATGGCGTAGAACTGAGTTGGTGAGCCAATTTTTGGATGAAAATCCCATGGACAATCCCATGTTATAACTCAACTCAACCAACATGGACCAACGTGTTTGAATAAATATATTTAAATAACTCTCTCAGGCGAAGACATTTTGAGTCTAGAAAACATTCTTTTTTGGGCAATCCCAGGAATCGAGGTCTGCGATAGTTTTGTCGAGTTCTGCTTCAGGGTTTGGCTGGTCCGATACTGGAAGTAGAACATGTGGCCATCGTTGCCTTTGGATACCTGTCTCTTTCAGTATGTAGCTAAAACGGACAAGTTGAGCAAGGCACCGTTCCATTTGATTCATTGTACACAATGATCATAATGTTTTATTGGAGGGTACCCCGAACTGGACCTCTTTCTACTAAGAGTGGCACTTTGTGGAACATTTCCCTTACATGAATCCCTAAGAAACATGTGCTCCTGTGAGGTTGGGACATTTCACCACTGCACCGATGTCGTGAATAAACATCAACATCAATCAACATCATAAAAAAGAAAAAACATGCAATCTCAAAGTATTTGTGGTTGAATATGGTGGAATCTTTGTATCTTTGAATCTTAGATAGATCCAAATGTGAAGACCACACAAAAAGCCCCTATTGGAAGGTTGGTCCTCCCCAGGTTCCTGGTTTATTAAGCAGCCATTTATGACAATATATTATATATATATATACATACAAGGTGATGCCCCATAGTTAGCTAAGTTGGTTTATAACTGCAATAACTTTGACTTAGAGTGGATATATCTATATACTTAATGGGGGTCGCCCTGCATCAATATATACGCACACCATTCTTGCAATCAAGTTCCGTTCAAGTACTAAGAATTACGTAATAGTAACTGCAGCCAAAGAATCGCTAAGAATCCCATTTAAGACGCGTTTTTCTTATATAATATAGTTTGATATTAAATTATCCCTCATGAAAACCATTAATGATACATTAACCATCGACAATCATCAGCTCATGAACTCATGAACCATCATTCTTCAACTCGAGTTGTATCCAGAAATTATTGGTGTTTAATGAGTTGTATCCCTATGGTTAGTGGTTGAAACATGTTGAAAAGCCACTTAAACATTTGCTAGTTCTCTATCTCCCTGTAACAAGTGGTGTATCCTGCGGAAAGTCACAACAGCACATCCACACGGTTCGGTGGCTCCCCCAATGTTTTTGTTGCTTCATAAACACCAATAGCTAGTTCGATATATCTACATATATCTACATCTATATCTACCATAAAGCCAACAGTTACAGGAAGATGTAGTTGCAAACCGAAAGTTAGCTAATTAACTATATAATACCGGTTGGTGGTTTGGAACATGGCTTTTATTTTTCCATAGTATATGGGATAATCCTTTCCATTGACTTTCATATTTTTCAAGATGGTTAAAACCACCAACCAGTTTGGATTGAAATCACCATTGTTAATGGGTAAATCCACTATTTCGACTGGGCCATTTTCAATAGCAAACTGTTAAATTACCAGAGTGTGTATATATATACCCTCTGGTAAACTAACATAGCTATGGAAAATCACCATTTTTAATGGGAAAATCCACTATAAATGGCAATTTTCCATAGCTATGTTAGTTTACCAGAGGGTATATCATTCATATACACCATCAGTTTGCAGGTGCCTTAGGCCTTGCAACCCACATATTGAAAAAGGGCAGCACCGTGAGCAACGTGATCAACATCAAGAACTCCGATAGGTTGTGAATATCCTCATTCTATACCTATATAGACCTATAGATATCTACCAAAAGCCAAGAGTTAACCTACTCCATTGGAATTTCATCAGCTTAGTGAAGTAAATCCACATCTTTTTTTGTAGTTGAACATCACCATTTCTCTTAGTTGTTGAACGTTCCCAAAATTTTCACCACGGAAATCACCCCTGGAGATCCCCACGAGTTCATCCATTTAATCCATTTTCGCCGCCCCCATTTTCGATCGAGGTCGGAGATAGCCTGCGACGCTGATGAGCCCAACAAACGACTCCTGGGCGCCGCCGACCTCTGCGAGAACCTGTCGCCTGACCAAACTGAGCTGAAGAACTGGGGATTTTTCATCCCCAAGTGGGATTTAGTGGGATTAGTCTACTACTCTATTCTGACATAGATACCTGCAAAATGGAGAATCACCATCTTTAAACAAACATAACTATGGAAAATCACCATATTCAATAGGTAAATCAACGAACTAAATGGGCAATTTTCAATAGCAAACTGTTAAACTACCAGAGGGTAATCATCCCCAACCTTGTGGGATTTAGTGGCATGATTGGTGGGATTTAGACCTTCTGCAAACTATTCACAAGTGGGATTTAGTGGGATTTAGTTGGACAACAGGATTTCTTCACCAGTTTATGGGAATGGGAGTGGCTCGAAGAAGCAAAATCGCTGCGACCATAGCATGTAAATGCTGGGATATTATTGGCTATGCATTTGTAGAACTGCCAATATGATATCCGGTGGTTAGGAAAGAACTCAAGAGCAGTTTGGAGCCAGTGTTGAATCCACATCTCATTTCGGGGAGCCCTGCGGAGCGACGAAGTGAGTTTCCCAACCACATGATAGTCTGGTCTCTTTGGGGAGGCTTGCTAGTGAAGGGTAACCAACCAGATAGAAGGTGGGGTTTTTAAGCGATTTTCCCTAGGTTAACTGTGGTTATGTGTGGTAGATATATCTATAATTAATGGGGTGTATATTACCCCTTCCAATTGGGGGGCACCACCTTGTAGCAGTCTGTACATGTCTGTACATTTGCAGTTCAGTTGCCGGTAAAATGGAACAAAAAGATTGATCAAGTTTGGATATTAGCCACAAAATAGACATACCATTTGGTTATGTAACATAGCCATGGAAAATCTACCCATTTCTAATAGGTAAACCATCTATAAATGGGCCATTTTCATCCATTTTCCATGGCTATGTCAAATACCCAGAGGGTAACAAACCTTAACAGCCCATATTCGTTGTCTTAGTCACTTAGCCCATGGGTTATCGATGGCCACCCGGCCTGCCACGGTCGAGACTGGTCTCTCCTTGTCTCCGAGGGAATATACGGCGGATGGCGCGGGGGTCCTCAGGTCGTGGTTAGCATCTGTAAATTCCAAAATCAATAGGATTCATGTATGGTATATATGCTAACATTTGGGGTATATTGATGGTAAATGTGACCATATATAGCATACATGGATCCTATGGGGTATATTCCAGTAATTCTCATGTATGGTATATTTACCTACATTTGGGTGATTTTTAGGGTACATGTTGGTAAATATTCCATACATGAAGCATTTGGGATATTCCAGTAATTCTCAACTAGGGATTAACGTTTGGGTTTATGCTGACATGCCGTTTAGGCTTATCAACTGTTAAATGTATGATCATCATATTGAATGGGATTGACGTTTGGGTTTCTGGTGACTAGGATTTACTGGGATTTAATGGCATGTTTGTTGGTTAAGAACTAGTATCATTGAGTCTCATAGAGTGTCGGGCAACTAAGATATTTCCGGAGCACATTAAACATAGTAACTTCTATCGCGCTATAAGGTGAGGCCCCCGTTTGCTATAGCTAACTTTATTTATTTTGCCTATGCATCACGTTTGGGATCGCGGATACAGCTATAGTTTTCATGGCTTTGTAAATGATAAACCATTAGAACTGGTAGGGCCCCACCTTGTAGTATCATTGAGTATGACCGCCAAGCAGAAGCAAATTCGTATTTGGGCCAAAAAAAAAGCGACTTCACAACAACCCCCGCATAGATGATAGTAAGGGGAATCTTTCCAATTTGTTGTTTATCTCCAGGGACTCCAGTGCTAGAAATGAGTTTGTCTGAAAATTTGGGGAACTTCCCTGGTATCCAATGGTTAATCAATGTTAGTCAATCCCAAATGCTCCATGTATGGAATATTTGCCAACATTTACTACATTTACCCTAAACATCACCCAGTCATGTCGGTAAATATGCCATACATGGAGCATATGGGAATGTTAATCATATTTAATCCTCGTTTTTCCCCACTCTTTCATGGTCATTTCTGATAGTCGATCTCCCATTTTCAGGTACCCAAGCGACAGCACAGTCTCGCCACAAGTACGGCTGATGCCTATGGGAAAATCATTTAAGCAGTTTTCAAACCCATTGTTGGTTGATGATTATAGGGGATTATACTACCTGGTTGGTGGTTTGGAACATGAATTTTATGACTTTCCATATATTGGGAATAATAATCCCAACCTACTAATATTTTTCAGAGGGGTTGAAATCACCAACCAGCTACCCAATATATTGGGGATTACAAGAATCCAAGAACGGGGAATCCCTTTTTTTGCAACCAGTATTACATGGAAGAACAGAGGGGTTTATTTCACACTGCTCAGTAATCTATCATGAAATTGGCTCCGTAATCGATGTTCAGTCGTCATGGTTTTTGTTGTTTTATTCACGTTGCCCAGGCCTGGTAAGTATCGTGCAGTACCTAACGACTGATATCCGACGAAACAAGTCGGATAACAAGCCCTTGGAATTTCATCATTTTTCATTCCAGAACCGATATGGGCGATGGGCGTCATGAATCTATGAATCCTTGTCATGAAAATGGACAAGTGCGACTTACATCGGCCTCAAACATTAAGCAACGACCCATGCGGGTTTGGAAAAGATGTTTTGGTTTTGAAACGACCTGATTTTGAGGTGAAAAAGCACGATAGTTTCAAGGAGGTACACTTCCCTCTGCTGATGAAACATGGCAATGGACAATTATTATTTGAGGATGTTCTGCCCTCTGGTTATTTAACATAGCCATGGGAAATGGCCCATAGAAATAGATGGTTTACCTATTAAAAATGGTGATTTTCCATGGCTATGTTACATAACCAGATGGTATTTGATGATTTCCATTGATTTTCCCAGCATTTCCCAGCTATAAATCTCTATGATGTCGTTGACTTCCAATACATGGAGCGTTCCAGGTGTGCATCTTGCACCTTGTCTTGTCCGTTCCCATGCCCGGGCCCAAGACCAATGCTGAGAAATTCACGAGTTTCATTCAGGGAGCCTTGGGGATGGGACATTTCAATGTTGGGAAGTTGGGAATTGATGTTGCATCGGAAAATAATCCTTAACTAATGAACCATTGTTTCCATTAATTACCTTGATAAGCATAACTTTTCTTATTAATGTGGGTACCATGATAAATCATCCCCCAGTCATCACCATTTTAATAGGTGGTATGTTTACCATTCCCAAATGATCCGTTTTTGTTGCGGATCGACCGACCAAGCGATGCCTGGGGTCGAGTGGAATCTGTTTAGTTTTCATTGGGGAAATGTAGGTAAATATTCCATACATGGAGCATCTGGGAATTTCGTGGAATTTGGACATATTTTCTCACCATTTCCGTCTCATCATAGAGACTTGGATTGGCTTGGCAATGGTTTGATGTAGATGAATGCAGATGATGGAAAGACAGCAACGTAAGATGCTTGTTGGTGTTTTTTTTATGCCCTTCTTGTTTGTTTCCAGGTTGAAGCACCAGTCCACTGCTCTGTGTGTTTCCCTGCCGTTTAGTGTGCTCAGCCAAATGATCACATCTCCAGTTTGAAGATTGGATGGTTTGGGCTTCAATGACCATCCGCGGAGTTTATATTTTCAGCCATCCATCAAAATCATAATCCATATGGGAAGCATAAGAATAGCCACTTCTCAGTGTGTTCACGGCGTCTCGTTGAGCTCACCATGTGCTGTGAAAAAACACCCTTTGTGCATGTCAAATCCGTCTTGCGAGTTGGATCATGAGACGCGGCATAACTTTACTGCATTGGAGCGTTTACATGAAATTTGGGTTGCTGGATATGCACATAATTATATACTGGCTGGTGGTTTGGAACATGAATTTTATGACTTTCCATATATTGGGAATAATAATCCCAACCTACTAATATTTTTCAGAGGGGTAGGTATACCACCAACCAGTAATTCTATGTATATGATATGTATCAAGATGTATCTCCATATCTATATAAATATGGAGATACACATGCCCACATACACATTGTTACAAATATCATGAATATTCTTCATTAGTTCAAACCCCCGATTATTTGGCCTCTTGGATCCTCTTGATTCACGGAACTTCCACATCTTTCGTACCAGGATTATGGTGCTCTACAACTACATCTCCAACTAATGTGGAGATGACATCCAGTAGATCGGCAGAAAAACAGCGGTAGGGCTGGGGGGAAAAACACGGTGCGTCTACAGCTCATGTGTTGAATGTCTTATGAACATGATACTAAATGGGGATGACATTTGAATTAATATTACTTAATCCTCGTGAATGCCTGATATTTGTAGATATTTTAGGATATTGTATTAAATTTCTATCTTTTTTGTTTCCAAGACTAGTGTGAATATTGGATATCCTTCCACTCCAAGTTAAACCATAGACCACCATTGTTCCCATGAAATCTCAATGTGTGTTATTTTATCTTCCCATGGAATCCCCATTGAACGGTCGGGAATATTTTCCAATGAACTCCCCCATTTTTAGCTGATGATTTTCCGAAACCATCATAAAATCATCTAAATTCCAGATTTTGTTGATCAATTCAATTCGGATTGGTTTTGTTGGGAAAATCTTAACCGGAAACCATAGATTTCCCCATTATTCATATGGGGCTTTCCGGTTTAAAATTTTCCCAACAAAACCAATCCATTGATCAATGTCCACCTTGTTTTCATCCCAAAACCAGCTGTTACCGGCACCGTGACGACCGAAACAACGGCAACTGAGGACGGTTCAGCAGTTCGCCGTGGAGAGTCGCCAGCAGCATCATGAGAGACGGGCGGAGTTAATGGGATGAACCATGGGATGAAGCAAAAAAAACAGGATTTCTAGTGCTTTCCATAGCTTTCTAGTGCTTTTTCAATAGTTTGGATATGTTTGGATGGGGATTTACAAATAGGATCCATGTATGGTATATATATATGCTAACATTTGGAGTATATTGATGGTAAATGTGACCATATATAGCATACATGGATCCTATGGGATAGAGGATATAGAGGGAATATACTAACATTGAGTCAATGAGTAGAGACTGGG